TATGCAGATTTGATGTCCAGAAAGGCTACAACAGGATAGTGGTGATGAGTGAGGAAGTAGTCGTGCATCAAGTCATGTAAACAGAGGGCTTGATCCAGAGGACTACGCTGCGGGCGAAAACCACCTTGAGCAACATCAAGTGCAGGCGAATGTTCATCAAGAGCAGGCATCAGAGAGAATTCGAACAATTTACGCATCACCGAAGTAAGCGAAATTGGACGAAAATTAGCTGGATCAGATACATCACCTTTCTTGTAAATGGGAAAGACTTGAGCATGTCGCCATAAAGTTGGTGTATACGACCACTGAGAGCAGAGTGTAAAGAGCAGAGACAATACGGGTGCAATGTCAGATGCTAGAGCCTTCAACATTTCAGCTTTCAGATGATCAGGGCCAGGAGCTTTCCCATTTGGCAAACGCTTAATGAGAGCGACAAGTATATCAGCATCAAACAGAGACAGATCAGTAGGCACAGCGTAAGGCAAATCAGAGTTGTTCACTTGGGGAGCAGTAGGGCGAGACGCATTATTCAACAAAGAGCCATCATAGACTGAGGCAAGATGGGACGCCATTGTGTTGACAGAGGCAGTTGGACCGTCTGGATGACTGTACGTTGCAGAGCATTCCTTGTTTCTTTTAATGCGCTTGATTGCAGCAGTGGCTTTCGAAAAGTCCTTTTCTAAATCAGAGCAAAACTGATTCCACGATCGACGCTTAGCAGCTTGTACAAGAGAACGAAAACGCCTGTGAGCAGCTTGATAGAGATTCCATGTTTCGACTTTGGCAAAACGACTTGCCCACCTCCATCTACTATACATAGTATCTCTTTCACGAGCAGCATCCTCAATTTCCTGTGTCCAGTACTTTTTCCAGTGGCCAGGACGACCAGATTTCACACCAATTGAGCTATCCAGAGATTCATACAAACATTGATTCAAAGAATCGTTGAGTGCATCAATATCTGGACAAACACCAGGAGGAGCAGACACCAAACCAGAGAGAGAACCAACCAAAGGAGCAACAGAAGATCGAAAGGATTCACGAAGCAAGCCCAAAGGCCGCTTTTTCCTCAATTTCGAGAGCTTCCATTGCCGTCTAGGGGCCAAACCACCAGAGCTACCAGAACCAAGAGTATCATCAGGAGGGGGCACATACTCGAAAGTAAGTACCATCAGCCGATGATCAGAGCCAAGAGACAGATCAGATTCAACCACCAGTTGAGGATGTAACAGAGCAGCCTCGCCAATGTTTGTAAGAAACAGATCAATGATGCTATGAACCTCTTGTTGACGTCGAAAAGTTGTGAATGTGGGTGTACCAAATGCTAAAGACTCATTGAGAATGGAAAAAGAGGACTCCTCCAGCCATGGAAGTAGTGAGGTACCACGAGGATTAGCATTAGTATCACCCAGTAGAGATCCAAAGCGAGCATTGAAATCACCACAAAGGATGGTATCACTGGTTACGGGTAACGAGCGAAGAAGCGAGAGCACCTTATCCGAAGATAAGGGTGGAGGCAGATACACACAATGAACTGTAAGGGTGCCAACCTTAAGGGACAAAGTGTGTGCATTGTAAGACGGAAGTTGAGAGACAGAGAAAGGACAGGAAGGAGAGACAAAGGCAGTAATGCCACCAGAACCACGGTTAAATGCACCAGGTACTTTAGAGCCATAGAGGTGGAATTGAGACCAGTTAGTAGGGAAAGAACCAGAGGTTAGCCAGGTTTCAGTGACAAGCAGTACATGAGTGTTCTGAACATGATGGAGAACATCATGTACCGTTGATTGACGTAGACCATTGGCATTCCAAAGGGAGAGAGAGACTTGAAAGGAGTGGACTGGGTTGTTATTGGGAGTATGACTAGTAGCTATGTTACTCATTAGAGTTCCATAGCAGAGCCATTGCTGTCATGATCTTCCTTTTGACGCTTGAACAAGAATTTAGCCTTTTTGGGCTCCTTCTCGGCAAGACGACCGATAGCTTCAGAGACGGCTATATCTAGCTCTTCTTGAGAGATCCAGCCAGCAGAGACAAAGTATTTGCCAACGCCACTAACGTTGAGTGGACGAAGGAAAGAGAGGGTTTGCAGAGCACGGGTGTTGGTGAATTCATAGATCAATTGCTCACGCTCTTCAATGGCAAGATCAGCATATTTGGGATCAGCAATGTTGTTGGGATCCAAGGGTTGAAAGTTTTCAATGTGATCAGCTTCACATTTGCGCATACAGGCGAGAAACTCCTCTACATATTGGATGTGGAGCAAGATGCCAATGACGCCAGTGGCAGGGAAACAGATGTCTAACACACGGCCAGTATCAATACCAGCTCGGCGAAGTTGGTAACGAACCTCAGAGCGCAGGATTTTACCAGAGCGGCCTAGATACACATACTGGTATCCTTGTTGACCTTTGGTGGTGGCGGTTTGGAACATACGACCTGCAGCAAGACGTCGCTTGGTAGTACGGGCAGGGTCACGATGTTGGGCACCTTTACGGGCAGCAGATGCGTAGCTACCTTGAGTAGCATCGGGTTGGTGAATAGTAACAAGCTCTTGGGTTGGTGTTACCTGAGAGCTGGATTGAGCACCTTGATTGGTGCGGCGGGATGAGAGTTGGCCCTGTAATTTTTCAATTGCAAGGTCCTTGGCCTGTAACTGATTTTTCAATTCTCCATTTTCCTTTTCCAAAAGGTCCAGGCGAGCAAGGAGATTGTCATGTTGCTGTACTCGCTCGGTGAGAGAGACCAGTTGTTGCTGTTGTTGTTGAACAGTTTGGATGAGCTGATTCAAATCCATAGATTGCTAATTATTGTTGAGCATGGCTGAAAATATTCTATCAAACTTTGGAGATTCAATAAAATATGAAAAAGATGTCCAACAAACTGGAAGTTATAACACAATGTACGTTGACTAAATGCAAGTAAACTGGTACAACTGAAGGCTAGTTGGAGTGTTTGTTGTCGAGATAAACCGCTTTTATAGTGAGGAAATACTTTTTACCGGGGTAAGGTGGCAAAAAGTGATGAAAAACGGAAAGAGATGGGGATGTAGCTCAAATGGTAGAGCGCTCGCTTAGCATGCGAGAGGCACTGGGATCGACGCCCAGCTTCTCCACATTTTTTCATTTTTTTGAAAAAATTTATATTAATTCGTGAGACGTTATGCAGTTCTCGCATCTGTCGTGTGTACCTGACACACGACACCTGCTGTTACAAATCGACTTTGGTTTTGTAACTGAATCTCTCTTTTTGCTGTAAATTGCCTACAAAAAGAATAAGCTACGCTTCACTGCTTACTATATTGGATCCTACTTCTGTTACTACAATTTGACATTGAATTCTTAAATGCTTCCTATATTCGAATATACTCTGAACCCTATCTCAACAATGACAAATCAGTTACCACTCAGTCCCGTATTATTTTGACAGATGTCAATTCAAACTCTTAAACATCTCTTATTTCTAATGAAAACACACAAATGGGAAGTAAATCCACATTATCCAACCGTTCATCCTCCAGTAACATTATCAATATCAACATTCACCATCTTTCAACAGCAAATAGAGCTTTCCGGCTATAAAAATCGTTCAAGCTTTTAGGATTACTAAGTGTATCAAAATCAATTATAGAAGGATCAGCCCTTCATTACAAATTTATATAAAACAGAAACAGAATTCAGGACACATAATAATTCATAGAATCAATTTAATATAAATATACAGATGATATTAAACAATAAAATATTATATTATTCCTACTTAAATCCATATCTATATAGCCCTATAGCTCATTGTCTTTGTTATTTCACTGAACTTATCAATTATAACATCCCTTGATTCCTTTGTATACATTAACACCTCGATTCATTGTACTTTATCTACTTTTATCACTTTATTTACACATCTCTTTCTATATTTCTATAGACGAATCCGCTTTGGCAATTTATCTATATATTTTCTCTGTTTCACTCTTACTACTCACGCTACAAGAAACCACTTTGTAACAATACTTGTGGAATTTGAGGCTTTATAGACTGAAATTCACGGAAAAAAAAATAAAAAACAATGGAGTCAACTTGATAAAGGTATGTTTTATTATCAAACTGACATGTGTAAAGTAAACTGAAGTCTCTCTACTGGCCAGCCGGTAGATGATCCTTCTTATATACTATAACAATGGATAAAAGTTTTATTAATTAGATTGACAAATAAGTCAACTCAGATCAACTAATATCTAATCATGCTAAAAGACAACTCCAGCAAACTAAACATGATTTAGCTTTGCCTGGATGAATAATTAGACTCTCATCCGAAGTATTCTAATCTATTCTTTCTATAAGGATAATTAATATCGATCTAGTAGCATGTATCCGATAGGTACAGTCTACTTAGTCTATATTAATAGTACATATCTGAGTGTATATCGCTAAGCATACATCTTTAGCATGTATCTGGATATATGGCATGTCTATAGCATATCGTATGCATGTCTATAGCATGTCTAATATATAGTACAAGTCTGTAGTACATAAAGTATCTGTAGCTAGTATCACGGATATAAGCATGTATCTTATAGCGTGGATCATGAAGTGCACATCTGAAGCAACAAGCTCATATTGCATTAATCTTGGTGCCTATCCAGATATGGTAAACATCCGTAGTCAATGTCGGAAGACAAGTATAAGTCTATAGCGCCATCCATGTCCGTGATGCCATCTATAGCCTATATCTTATATAGTATGAATCTTATAGTACTAGCGTATCTGAAGTCCATATCTTCTTATACTGTAGGGGGAAAAACTGTCCCGTTCGTTTAAAATTTTGTCTTTTTGCACAAGTTTTTGGTCATTTCCTTGTAAACAAAGTCGAAATATATATCGTTTGAATGAGAGAAAGCAGTGCTATCTATACATAATTATAACGTTTTCAAAAACTAAAATCCAATGATTTTATTGGTTAAAAAATAAATATAGAAAAAGGTACATTTTATTATAAAATCATTAATAGTGAGTTGAACCACCTTTGCTCTTGATGACAGCCTTGATTCGGGCAGGCATACTATCAATATATTTCTGGCACTCTTTTTCTGTTATTTTGTACCACTGAATGTTAATACGCCGCTCTAATTCTTCTTTTGTAGAGGGCCTATTGGGATACTTATTAAGACGAAGCTTTAGGAGATGCCAGACATGTTCAATGGGATTAAGATTGGGACTTTGGGGTGGCCAATCCATAATTTCGTCTTGGTTGAACCCATTGTCGGTGAACCATTGCTTAGTAGTGCCTGAGGTATGCGGTGTTGCCCTGCCTTGTTGGAATCGCACATCAGACGGTGCCTTCCCAAAGTGCTCAAGAGTGTCGACCAATGATGTCTTCAAAATATCGACATACAAGTCCGAGTTTATTGAGCCTTCAATAATGGTAGTACCATAACCAGGACTCTCCGCTGTTATGCAACTCCAGAACATGACCCCACCGTCATTTCCCTGCAACTGAGACTTGACTTAATACGACTGCATGATTCGGCCACCATTCGTCCAGTAAAAAGAATTACCATCTGAGCCCCAAAGGTTTATTCTTGTTTCATCCGAAAACACCCAACGACTCCAATCAGCAATAGTAAGATGCCTATGCTTTTTAGCCCACGCCAGTCGAAGCCGCTTGTTTGTCTTGCTAACAGAATTGGTCTTTACTTTTCTACGAGATTTAAGTCCATTTCGTCTCAATGACTTGTGGATGCCATTAATTGACATATCATGGCCCATCGATCTTAAAATTTCTTGTGCTGCTCGGGGATTATCTAAAGCACCTGATCGAAGTCCTCTTGACACTAGGGACATAGTTTTAGCACCAAGTTTTTTCGGTCTTCCGCCAAGAGGTCTAGCTGGGTCAGGGCAATAATATAGTTTTCTGAGCCTTGTAAGAGTAGAGTTGCCCACTCCTGGATACAAATTTTTTATCTTTGAGAGCGAAAGACCACGTTGGAGCAAAGATTGGAGAACGTTGCGCAAATCTTGTGTTAAACGAGCAGGCAAAATGAAAGTTTTGAAAAAAAATAAGAAAGCAAAGAAGTAAAGAAAAAAATATGAAAAAACTAGCTTCTTTTATACTTTTAGAGTGCTCCTGGGATATTAGATATCCTGAGCATACCGCGGGTAGTTTTTTAGATTTCTTCAATACGTCTATTGGAAGTAAAAATATCAACCATTTTATATCATCTAGAATTACCCACCTAACATTTTTGCCACGTCTCACTTTAGCTGGTTATACTGGGATTAAAATATAGTCCAGCCATAAGATTTTTATGTTGCTGTAATTCCTATAGGCTGTTCTATCGAACGCAGTATGGGGTAGCTTTGTTTTCTGAGTTTTGGCAATATACTGGGTAAAACTCAAGATTATTTGAACGAACGGGACAGTTTTTCCCCCTACAGTAGTATAAATCGATATCGTACATCTAACTCAGCGTACATACAGTTTATATCTAAATCTAGTAACTGGATGAACTGTCGGAATGCAGATCATAGTGGATGTATTCCGCAATACTTGTCACTTACTACATAAAATCATCCATTTTATCCTTCAACATTAAACAGATAAAATACTGTATATCACATCAAAGCAACTGAAGATACTAAGCTTGAATCTCTACTTCACGTAGTAAAATTCAGAGGCATGATCCTTTGAAAATCGGTCATCTGGAACATTTTCCGTCATTATTCATTTATATCCCCTTCCATAACCCCACATCAAACATATCTAAGTCAAAAAAAAGTGCCCTCTACAATTTTTAATGCACATACATTCCACATTTATACAGTAATTCAAAAATTTTTACTAACAGCATCTATTCATAATTAACTGTTTTCTAAAATTTCACTTCTCTTAACAACTATGCTACCTACGCAAATCTAGCTTGCACCGTTGTCATTTTGGCAAGAGCGGAGTTCCAAATAGGAACAGTAAATTAGAGTCAGTGTTCGAAATCTACTGGGCCAACAAAATCGCTGCCCTGAATTCGGTGTAGAATAAGAAGGGTGGATCCGGATAATAGATAAACCCTGGGGGTACGGGGCGTAGGTAGGGGTAGGGTGGGTATGGCGTAGCTAGCAATGGGTGGATAGATTATATTGCATTATACGTACCTCCCCGACAAGGCAGAGCAGTAAATGTTTTTGACATGTAGGATCAGGCACTTCATTTTGTTCATCTACCGTGACCCACAAAACTGTCCCAATGTTTAGCAGTTTTTACTTTCAGACCTTACCACCGGACGAGAAGTTATCCAATAATAATGAATTTAGTATTTTCTAAAAGCTAAAACTGTTTTCTTTATATCTTTTAATTTTTATAAGCATATAGCTGTAGAATCACAAGCAGTGATTGGCCAAAGTCATAAGGTATATTGAGACAGTATTGTGAGATATTTGGAAAAATCAAGTTTTATTATTTTATAAGACTTTAATACTTTGTCCATTTCCCTTTTACTTTGAGAACCGCCGCAATACGTCGAGGCATACTTTCTCTAACCTTTTGGCACTCCTCCGGCTTCATTTGGTCATACCAAATCTCAGTTACTCGCTCATATAATTCATTCATACCCTTGGTTGCGGTTTCATACTCATTGAGACGCCTTTTCAACAAAGCCCACATGTTTTCGATAGGATTCAAGTCTGGAGATTGTGGGGGCCACTCCATGACCTGGTATGGCTGTTTCTGAAGGTACTCCTTGACCAAATTTGAGGTGTGTTTGGGATCATTGTCTTGCTGAAATATCACTTGTTCACGGCTGAAGCCCAATTTCTCAACGGAAAAGGCAATAGTCTGCTCCAATTCGTCTTGAAGGGTTTCCTTGTAGAGTGCCTTATCCATATTACCGTTTATTTTGCACATCCAGCCAACACCAGCATATGTAATGGCACTCCAAAACATGATACTGCCACCACCGTGTTTTACCGTGAGCTTGACATGGTGGTTTTGAAGCTGTTCACCAGATCGAATCCAGGCCCACTGTCGCCCATCTGAGTTGAAACGATTAATTTTGGTCTCGTCTGTCCAAATAACACGTTTCCAGTCGTCAACAGTCCAGTCCTTGTGCTGTTTACACCACGCAAGTCTCTTCTTGACATTAGCGTCACTAAGCAAAGGCTTCTTTTCCTTCTCGATAGCCCCCAAGCCCGCAGTGCGGAGTGCTCTACGAACGGTCTCCGGGTGAACCTTCATCTGGAAATTCTTCAACATTTTTGTGACCTTGACGGCGCTTGAAACCCGTTCCTTGGTTACCTTTCGAACACAATAGCGTTTGTCGGCTTCAGACAATACCCTAAGACGACCACCTTTCGAGGTTTTCACGCCTGGACAATTCTCCATTCTGATTCGCCCAATAGTAGACTTACCCAAAGACAATTTTTCAGCAATTTCCCGAATCGAAACATTGCTTCGAAGCATTGTGATTGCAGAATTAACCTTGGAGGGAGCATTGGCTTTCATGGCTTGATAATCGACGTACCTGATATTTAGAACTCCGAGGAAGATAATGGAGACTACTTGCGCTACATGAGGCTTTCTTACACGAGGCTCTTGAGGTTATTCCAAATTGTGGGTTTGAGTTATCACTGAATTTGTGATTTTTCAAAAGATCTCACAATACTGTCCCAATGTACCTTATGACTTTGGCCAATCACTGCTTGTGATTCTACAGCTATGTGCTTATAAAAATTAAAAGATATAAAGAAAACAGTTTTAGCTTTTAGAAAATACTAAATTCATTATTATTGGATAACTTCCCGTCCGGTGGTAAGGTCTGAAAGTAAAAACTGCTAAACATTGGGACAGTTTTGTGGGTCACAGTACCTTATTATATTTCTTCAATATTTTAAGCAACATGGACAACTCAAGTTATGAAATGGAGTATGATTTCTTCAATCAATTTCCTGACGAAACCGTTGAAGAAGTTCTTCCCGCTGCATTTGACCGCACCACCAATGCATTCAGAACCAAAATATTAAATATTGGATGGGCTTTGAAAAAAAACCACAGCAAAGCTTACAACAAGTACAAACAAGTTGAAAAACTCGCTGAAGGTGAGAGCCGTTGCGACAGAAAAATCCATAAAAAATGCGCTGGTGCTTTGCGATGCCTCAATCTGCAATGCAAAAGACCTGAATGGGTCAAAGATCAACGACCTCCTGTTGACTGGAAAGACGAACTTGGCTGCCTCAAAAAGTTTCAATGCCCATATTGTGAGGCGCCATTGAAGCGGATCAACTGGGGTAATGGTGCAACTTTCACCTTCCATGTAACTGATATTCGCAGAGAAGACGGAGGCAGTACAGTTACAATGTATCAAGAGATAACCGAGAAAAAAAACACATTCATTCTATCTACAACTCGCTTCATCTTGATAGACACAAAAAAAAAGAGCTAAATAATATGGTCAAAGATAGGCCAAACATCACTGCTGCTGCTGCCATTGCTGGCATCGATCCATCTACTGGCGCCATCACGAAAAGCGCCAGAGAAATCAACAGTGTAATGGCAAATCATGGACGCACCAAGTATGAGATCCGGAAGTCGAAGGTCCAACAAGATCTATCTTCTACCAAAGAAGATGTGGTAGCTGCCTTTGAAGATCTTGATGAGAAGTATCCAGGCTTTATGGATTCAGCACAGATTGTCCCTAGCAAGGTTTTTGTGAGCTTCTGTTCACCTGAAATGCTTCAGCGTAATCTCCCTTTTGCAGATCAACCGATCATAACAGATGTGACTTTCAAAGCCGTCCCAAAGGGCTATTATCTATGCTCAAGTGTCATCTATATCGAGCAACTCCAGAAGCATGTCGTCTTTCATCAAGCGATAGTCCAAAGCAACACTACACATGTTTTCAAAGATTACTTTGTTGCTTTGTTTAGAAAATTTGATGTCGAACTGGAGAAGTTTTTGGGAGTCATTATGGACTTTTCAGCTGCCCAACGCGAAGGTTTCATACTAGCCCTCAGGGATAACTTTGGTGTCAAGCAGCACAATGCATTACCTTTTTTAAAAGGGTGCTATATGCATTGGATGCAGTCAGTCAAGCGCATGTCCAACAACCGCCAAGTTGTCAAGCCAGATGAGATTGATACCTTCTTGAAGCTAGTCCATCGGTTCCGTACCACAAGAAACAGTATCGAATTCTTTCGAACTGGTAAGGAGCTTTTGACCTTCTTTCCCAACTGTAAAAAGGGGTTACAGTGGTGGCTCCAACCTGGTGTCTCAAGTATGGTATTCAGATGCAAGTCTTTGATGAAGGACGACTTGAGGCAACACAAGAGCCGCTCATCCAATACCACTGAGGCGTTTCATAGTGCCTTATACAAGTTGATGCCAGAGAAAAGACAACCCGTTTCGACAAGCTTAAGACTTTTGTTGCAGGTCGCCAAGCGTGATGGAATGATGTTGTTGGGTTTTTATGACCACAATATCCGACCACATTACGGAAACAATCCCAAGAAGCCGACAAAAAAGTATGCAACTCTGTATGAAATTAATGACGGCCGTGCGCTAGATAACAACACAGCACTCTTTGGCACCAAGAAGAGAAAACAAGAAGTGGTGCTCATTAGCGATGCTGAGGAGGATGGCAAACGCAAGGCCAAGAAAGCAAAAACACGTGATGTTAGTTTGGATGCTGCCATAATTGAGCATCTGGATGAAACTGATGAAATGGAGAGGAACTGTCCCAAGATGGATGATTTCCCAGATGATGATATCAGTGATGAGAAACTGTTCCTTGAACTGCTCTCAAACGACGAATGCAAAAGCGATAAAGCAGAAAATGTATTTGATAGAACTGAGAACCTAGATGAAGACATTAAGAATATGTTTGATGGTGAGGATGCTTACAATAGTTTCTGATTGCTGTATCATTGATATTTTAGACCTTGGAACTCCTGTTGAAAATGTTTTCGACTCAGACGAAGAATTCAAATCGTTCGTTATTGATCTTGTATCATCATCATCATCATTTTCTTCTTCTTTAATGAAAACCAAATGCAACCCCCCGTCAGTTTTACAACACAAGTCTGAGCCTACCTCATCCAAGATAAGAGCACTATCCAATTCTGATTTTTCGTTGCCTTCGCCTCCTTCGAACTTACCCTTTCCTGCAAGTGATGGCACAGTTATTGATCTTACGATTCAAGAAATTCAAAAATCCATATCTGATACAGTAATTGATCTCTGCTCTCCTCCAATGCCCCATGAGACTTCGACATTAGTAGCAATCGAACCCGATACAAGCGATGAGACTAGGATGACAAGTGAGTCTCCACTTGAAAATGAGTTATCTGCCACTGCCGGCTTCTTGGTACCACAAAAAAGGGTGTCTCTTCAAAAATATCAATGGCTCGTAAAGGATTACAAAAATAACGATCCATGCAAATACTCGTCTTTACCTGTTCCTACGTACATTTTCCCCAACCAAAACAACTCTTGTTTTATCGATGCATCTTTGGAGCTCCTGCTCAATGCCGTTCTTCCGTTCGTGAATATGTCTTTCGCTGACCAAAGCAATGCCTATGATAGTGTTCTTGTCAATGCCTAGGAGTCTTATTCCCAGCAGTCTCATTTTGGTATTCGTGCAGCTACTACTCTTACAGCAAGACAGTTAGTTTGGAATATGACAGAATACAAGATTGTCTCTGGTGTTCCCCGAATGGTCAAGACATTCCCGAAAGGCCATGAAGGTAATACTCACTGTTGTGCCAGAAGGGCTACTACAACTGTCTATAAAGATTAAGGTATTCTTGATGGGTAGATATGTCTGTGTTGTGCAACAACATGGACAAGCTATGATAAGTGAAGTGCATCTCAGCTATCTAAATACTGAGGTTCACCAGATGTGATAAGCGTTGTACAAGATAAATTGCTACTTTGGCATTCAGAACTTAGTATAAATAGAATAACTCTTGTCTTCATCAATAAATCTTTAGTTTTTGTGTCTGATCTTATTCAAATAAGTCTTTTCTTGTTTTTATAATATCGAACATTTTTTATAAGCTACAAATAATAATCCTTTTATTCTTTGTGCTTAACACTCACGATTCGGCGAGCAAGATACTACAGCGTTTGTCGGGTGTCTTTGTAAGCAAGATTTGCACATTTCCGTCGTTGCAATGTGAAAGAAAAGTGCTTTGCTCTGTAGAAAAAGCGCATGCGTATGCTAGAGATGCCTTTTTTGAGTTTATCTACATGATTCCAACCACTATCGTCGAGGAATTGAGAGACTGTCGTGGATTTATCAATGGAGCGGCACTAGACGTAAAATTCAATGACTTGTTTAGAGAGAAAGTGCTCGAAGAACATCAGAAAGGAAAGTGTAACTTTCCAGGGTGTGATGGAGTTTCGACATCACTCAAAGTACTACCTCAAGATGATCAGTTTCCCGAATTCCTGTTCATACAAGATGGTGCAAACTTTGTCCTTGGACGGACAGCAGGAAACAATGTTTACCTGCCTACGTACATCCACATATCACAGACCTTAAAATACAAATTGCACGGTAGAGTCTACTTAACTTGCTATGATGGTAAGCATTTTTATACAAGATGCTATAAGACAATTGGCGGAATTGTATACCTCGTAGATATTGACAATTGGAAACAGCAGCAAATGAAGGTGCTCACCTCAGATATAGACGTGGCAGAGCGTCTTTTGAAAGATATCTCTAACACGGTGTATGCATGTTATCGTATTTGCCAGATCAGAAAATAGATCTGCATGAATAAAAGCTAAAATTTGACACTCATTTCACGTATTTTGTACCCCCCCTACATCATATCCACCCTACCCCTACCTACGCCCCGTACCCTCACGGTTTATCTATTATCCGGATCCACCCTTACTTTTTATCCACCCTTTTTATCCTACACCCCTGAATTCTCATCGTCATCATTCAACAGACCAAACATTCGTTTTGTAATAATGACAATGGATAGTTACTTTGAGTCAAATGGATGTTTTTGAGGGGGGACAACCTATTCCATTCTTGCACCAAACAGATTTAAATTGGGTAAGTATTTATAAGTTTAAACGAAATAAGCTAAAAAATACATTTGTTATGCCAGACTCTTGAAAAGTGTCAATAGCAAGTAAATGTCGCTTGTCTAACCATTGTATGCAGAATAATCATCAAACGTGGTAGGAACATATCAGCAATTTAATTCTGGACACCCTTAATACGAACCAAAAATGATGGCTAATATGGTCTCTACGTTTGCGCGATGATGGAAAGGAGAAAGTATGCATCGTATTGGTGTTATCAAGTCAATGAAAGTGCTCGAGGTTTTTCTTGAACCACGCAAAACTACTCTACGTGTACACACCGAATATTCTCTACAATCAGCAGGTATGAAACTAACTCTTTTTGCTTTTACTCATTACAAATGGTCCAGTTTAGGGGTTTAGTCTCATTATCTTAAAATTCAACAGAAGAAAAAATCATGCAGAGAATGTTGCGGCGATGGAATTGATGAAGCTACATGTGTCGACGCTCTCGGCAAAGACATAGAAATGTCGTGATTCAGGGACATCTCTGACCAGTAGTCAGACAAATTAGCAAGACACTTACATACATCCGAGTTCTGGGTATGCATGTGCGAAGGCTTTAGTCAGCACATCGCAATAAAGAGGTCAGGAAGGAAATGAACAGAAGGGCCTTGAGTCGAGAAAATTAAACACAGCAGCTACACAACCGGAAGCATTCATTACTACGCTATACTCCATGGCTAACCATCGTTACTACAGTAATGCATGTACCTTTTGACTGAATAGATACACAACGTTACATGTTGTGGTACACCTGGGGATTCGAAAATGAGCGAATGACATCACTTTATTTCGTGGTGGTTGTTGTTCCTTGATCCATTTCACTTCAAGATATTTTCTTCTTTGTTTTCTTTCGCTTTCTATCTCTCTTTTCTTTATCTTACACATCTAATCTGCACTTGAGCTAAAACACTATGGGAGAATCTAGAACAGAATTACTGGCTTGGGTGAACGATCTCTTACAACTAAACTACACCAAGGTTGAGCAAGCAGGAACAGGTAAGGCGTCAGACCAAGCAAAAGAGTAGATACTGGGGAAATATATGGAGAAATTAAAAGCAACCCATAAAATCCAGGCGCTGCCTACTGCCAAATTATGGATTCTGTGTTTAGTAAGTAGCAGTTGTAGAACGTAAGAAAGATCATCCTCCCTGACAATCTTGTATTAGACGACGTCCATATGACAAAAGTCAAATTTGATACCAAGCATGAATACGAATACGTCTCTAATTTCAAGGTGCTTCAACACACTTTTGATAAGCACAAGTAAGTAGAAATCAGCGCGTTTGCAGTGTTTTATTTTACACAAGCTAACCATACGTCTCCTTAAACCTTACTCATCTTCCCCTTAAAATCAGAATCGACAAGGTAAAAGCGCTTTTACAGCCAACGCCAAAACCTCTCCTTAACTCGAGTCAAAACGTAGATTATACCAGTTGACAAATTAATGAAATGCAAATTCCAAGACAACCTTGAATTCATGCAATGGGTCAAGCGATTCTGGGATCAGAATTTTCCTGGTGGAGAATACGATGCTGTTCAGCGCAGAAAAGGTGGTGGGCCCTCTTCTGCTTCTACTAGGAGCCCAGCAGTTGGTCGCTCATCTGCTGGCGCCGGTGCTGCTGCAAGCATGGCACGCAGAGCAGTAAATAATAACAGTCCTGCAGGTAAGAAACAGAGAGTTTGGATGCTTTTGTAAACAATGTATTCACACTATGTTCTGCCATTAGCTGTAAGCGCCAATCGTACACCCACTGGTAGATTATCGTCTGCCAAAAATAGAGCTGGACCCACAGATATAGCTAGAATCAATGATTTGAAAGCACAAGTAACTGAACTCAAAGTAACAGTTGATGGATTAGAGAAGGAAAGAGATTTTTATTTTGGAAAATTGCGAGAAATTGAAATCTTGGTTCAGGAACAGCTGGAGAATTCGCAGGGAGATACAGATGGTGAATGCATCAAAGAGATTCAGGCTATTCTTTACAGAACAGAGGAAGGATTTGAAGTACCACCTGAAGGCGAAGGCGAAGATGATGAACAATACGATGATGAAACATTTTAAAGTTTATTGATATAATTCTGCATTGTAAGGTGTACCAAATAAAAACTTCCAACTCTTGGGTGGTGACCACTGTGAAAGTCCAGTTGTTTGTATTTTTAACAATGTGTTGATGAATCTGGCAAACTCAATACCATCTTGAACGTTATCTATGAGCACGTATAGTCAATACCAAACATGTATAATCACTTGCGCAAATATATATATATATATATATATATATATATACCTCCTTCCAGTGCAAACATTAAAAGTAATGTCGTTTCCACTTCCTTTTGGTCCAACTGTTGATACAAATGCTTTGCTAAACCAGAGCCGGGTAAACGCATATGACGCTCATTATCACTATTCTGACTTGACTCAAGCTCAAAATTCTCCAATACTGGAATACCCATTGTAACAGCACGCATAACCAAGCCATGTTCGCCATACACTCTAAAAGGCTCCCCTCGAATCTGTGAATCTAGTCGACGAGAGGCATCCATTGAGGTTAACAAGACAACTTGTTGAAACTGTGCTGCAAATCTAGTCATATTATCCAGATACTCTTGCCTTTTGCCTTTAATGGTGGGTGAACGTTGCTGAATACATGTCCAGCGTTGATCCTTGGATTGGTATACTATTCAACAAAACACAAATGAGCTCACAGCATCATCAATCATTCAATAGCGATATATCTACCTTCGATAGGAGCGGTTGTGCCTGGTGCATCCGTATCCTCGCGCACACCAGATATAGGCATTACTGAATCATCATCAAGAAAGCCTACACGTTCGAGTTTGAATGTATGAATGATCAAATCACACGCTAATTGAGGCACATTGCCGATAGATACAGTAGGCTATATAATCATATTAGCAGAGATTTTGGAGATAGTTATGAAACACAACATACCAAAATAAGAGTTGATGCCTTGAATGAGTTGCTATCAAAGTCTTTTACAGGTACAAATGACATTCGTAATGCAGTAAAGGCTGGTATCGTCACTCTTTGCTTTGCTTTTGTTGCGCGTCCATGAAACATGGAGTCACATAAACAGTCTTTGTGACCCAAATCATTCATGCCATGTTGGGTTATTATGCAGCAAATTTCATCGATGCAACAAGTGTAATGCAGGTAGAATTGAATAATCGCAATCATGCGGCAATCGACTGAGGGTTTCTTTGAATCAAATCGAGATAGGTTTGTAACTTCTGAGCGTTACATATCGATGCATTTTGCAAATGGATGAATCGAGCATTGATTTTCGAACCACAGGTGTCCAACCCGCAATAATTCAACATGAGCGCGACACTGTTAATAGCAAGTTGAGGGCCAATGATTCAGTCCATACAAGTAGGCACTTGGTTTTACATCTTTTGAGGCTATGGTAATCCTTTGGAGCATTGCTAACCCACTGATTTCTAATCCACGCATAACTACATTCTAAAAAGGCAATACATGATGTCATATTTGGTCCCTGACGATCTCATTGAAATTGCCATGTGTTTTTTATTGTCCAATTCAATGCACACTATCAGCGATTTCAGATAAAAGATTTTCTCTCACTTGCTCTAGTCGATGCTGCATGAAGAAGGAATAAATGAATGAAGCTTGATCAAGACGTTGGGTGCAACACTTACCAAATCATCTTCTGCTTCTTGGATCTTGATAGAGGCGAGCACCATATCCTGTATAAATAATAATCCGATTTTATATTATATTTAGTAATTCATGTTCAAACTCTAATTTTTCTTTTTTATTTTTTACCGATGGCAACGATGTGAATGATTCGAGCTTCATTTCTTGATGTTTGCATTGTAATTCGGCTGCATCTGCTTTATTTTCCAGCTCTTGTATCTTTGTCAATGTAGATTCCTGAACCCCCAGCTCGTCGTATTTTTTCTGTGGATAGCATGAGTAAAAAGGTCAAATAGCACATGACAGCAGCAGCCAATATACCTGCAATATGCTATATTCTGAGGACAGTATTTCTTTTTCGCCAATTTGCTGGCGTTGTACTGCAGTTTCTTGTGGTCCTTGTTGTAAATTTAGCAACATGCTTGAATAAAGTTAAATGCTTTGCGAATGTGTGCTGCTTTCTGGATGACACACCTTTTAATTAAACTCAACTCATCATCTGCTTTCTTCTGAGATTCGGCCAGCATGTACTCCATCTCATCTAATTTCAATGATTCGTGTTGCAATTCCATTCGATCCATCGTCAACTTTGATACAGCTGTGTAATAACTTATTTTCCTCTGCTTAGTCCTGTGCTCAAAAAAAAGCAATCTACTCCCTGTGGTCATTTGCCTTAATAGTACTTACTTGCTTAATTCGATTGTGTCCATTCCTAATGACTCTGCCAGCAGGGCAAGCGAATCGATTGCTTTTTCACTGTCATTTGATAATTTGAAATGAACTAAACCTATAAATGTCAATGTCTCGATCCGGGTTATTGTTCTAACGTTAATGATACGTACGCTTGTTCATTAAAATGTGTTGGATTAGGGGCATTGAATTGAAATTAAGGTTTTTGAGGGTATTGATCAACTGAAAGCTATCATTGGTACGCTCAAAGTTAGGACTTGGATTTCCTTTGAAGACACTTGAAAGCCAGGAATCCACCTAAACATTTCATTTAGTCAACGTGATTAGAAAATTCAGCGATTAATTGTTCTACGTGTGACCAATCCATTTTAAATTGTATTGTATATGAAGGAAGCCTTTATTTGTCGTGTGTGCGTGTACGTGTGTTATGTGGTATCAGAAAAAAAGTGTATAAAAAAAGAGTGGAGAAGGAGCGAGTAAAGAAAAAAAAAAAAAAAAAAAAGTAAAAAAAAAATAGGCAACGTATGACAAGATTGTAAATGAGGGGGGGGGGGAAGGGAGGGTCAAAACAGAGGGGGAATTGTTCTGGAATGGATTTTTGCAGTAATAATAATGACGATGAATGACAAGCTGTTAATGAACACTATTTTGTGCGCTCTTTCAGTCGGCCGAATAGTAGAGATCGAACTGAATTGTGATTCTTTTGGTCATCTTTCAGTAATTTGCAGAGGTCTGCCACGGGGATGGACTTCCAAGCATGAAAGTCGTTAATCTCATGCTTGATGGACATTGCTGTATTCTTGACATGGCAGTTAGCATCAACAAATGGCCATGGTACGTGGTAAACATACCTGGATACTAGGCCATAAAGGATGGTGTATATGTGTTTCTTGCTTAATCTTGTAGTAGGCATCTTGGATGAATTGAGCATCTTTTCTATAACATGATTGTGATTCAATCAGTTTATCAAGTATCATGCCATCGGGCTCTTGCTCGATTGAAATGTTGTTTTTGGCTAGCTGATCTTTCAAGAATGCAATAGTGCCTAATAATTGATTTAATGTAGCTGATAGATCTTGCATTTTCTCAACATGTGTCTTTTTTAATATGCCAAGCTCCAGTTCTACTTGTCTCTTTTCCTGGGAGCATTTCTCTGGTAGCTTCATTAATGCATGAAATGAGATAATAATAATAACAGGCACTAACCTATCATGTTAGCTTCGAATTTAGTGCGTTCGTTTTCCATTAATCGGTTTTGATGTCGAATTGTCTGCAACTCTTGGTTTAAACTATCCACCTGTTTCTGGATCTCCCAACAATTAGTAATAGGATTTCCCTTGGAGAAAAAAAAAAAAAATGGCATGCTCACCTTGAGATCGATGATCTGATCATCTTTCTCTTTGAGTAACTGCTGCTTGTAAGTGAATGCTTTTCGAAGGATACAGTCAGCTCATGTTTGTGTACATATTAAAATATATTACATTCAGAGGACAGGATCGATGTAGGATGAATAGAACTTTGGGAACTGGAAAAAAGAATCAGATTTGGTACTATGCTCCAATTACCGGTTGCACAATCTTACCTGTTTCTTGAGATTGGTGTATCCAATAGATTGAAGTTGATTTGTTTCCTTTTCACTGAAAAAGGTGCGACCTTGCTAGCCGGTGATTGTCTGATGGGCTTGGGCATTGTGTAAAGAGAAGTACTGGATGATGTGAGAGAAAGAAGAGGCACATTTCATCACAGTAAAGAATGTAGTAACCAACATTTCAATCTACTCCAAATTCCAGCATGCCTGCCCTTCTTCACTTGGGCCAAATGTAAAAAGTGTGATATCCTTTCTTTGATACTCGTAGAACTTGGTGTCTGAAGTGCGCGCACTTTGTACATATTAAATTTAAGGTTCACTTTCCTTAATATAATGAAGAAGTTTATAAATAATCATAATTTTTCCGCCCCAAGGTGGTTTCATGGAAAAGGTGCCGAAAAATGGCTTTGGCTTCTTGCGATTTCGTATAATAAACGGACCATTCTACATATGTTTCTGTAGAGGAACCTCTTCTGCTTGTATATCTCACCATCAAGAATACCCGACCATCATTAATATACACTAATTTCTGACCTTGAACGTAAAAAAGCGCGGGGATGAGGCAACATATCTCAACATGTTACACTTCAAAGCCAATTGTAGCGAAAATTGATTTCTTTAATTAAAATCCCTTTCCCCGGTGTAAGCGGTATCTTTTTTATGTATTCGACAAAATAATTTATATTTGAATTTTAATTATATAATCTAGCGTTTGAGTTTTCTCAACTCATACTAAAAAAAAAAAAAAAAAAAAAAGCACAAATCCAATCATATGATTCAGATTCTTTTTTGAAACAAACAGAAAATAGAACTTTTTTTTTTGTGGTAACATGTACTATTATATAAGTCTTTTTTATTATTATTGTGAGAAAAAGCCAGCTTTTACTTGAGAAAAATGAATAAAAAAGATTCATAGGATGTGGAATAAATAAGGATTTGTTTTTTTTTTTTGTGGATTTTGATTTAGTGCGTGTAAATGGGTGCATAAAAAACTAAGTGAAAAAAAAAGGAATTAATATAAATTAAATGTGCTGCTGTAAAATTTTGTCATTATTGTTGGTAATAGGTATGTTTTTCCATCTGTAAGTGAAGTGGATGATAAGAGACGATGTATGATCTGATAGTACCGGAGATTGAATCACAGGGGGAGATCAAAATAAATTAAGGGGCAAGAAAATGGGTGGTGTTATGATACAATGTTGATGTTTTCTAATCAGATTTTGTTGTTGTAGCTTTGGTTTCGTTGTTGCGAAGCTTGATTAATCGCTGGCGCTCTCTTGTGCGCATGGCTTGTCTACGATTCTGGAACCAAATCTGAACTGTACGAGGGCTCATACCCAGTTGTCGTCCTAATTCAGCTCTCATTTGCGTTGATGGGAAGAAGGTACGATCGAACACTCTATTCAAAACTTCCAGTTGTTTAGCATTGGCTCTTCTGCGTTTAGCTTTGATGGGTGAATCAGAGTCCTCATCCTCATCGTCCACCTCTTCATCGGCATCGTCCTCATCTTCATCCAACATGTCAACATCGTCCTCATTCATGGAGATGGGTGTATAAGATTGTCTTGGTTGAGGCTTTAGTTTGTTGTATTTTTTCACATCATCCCACATTACAGGTTCTGCGGTTTGAGTTGGGAATGGATAGCTGGTATAAGATGAAACACTTGCAGGTGAGGAGGTCAGTGAAGGTGAGAGAGATGGGCTTTTTTGATGGTGATCAACTGTTGATGTATTCAGTAAACTACTGATATCAAGTACGGATGGTCTCTTGTATTGATTTTCATTCAGCATGCTATTAACGGAAAGCATTTTTATGATATAGAAAGAAGGGAGAAAGAGAGAAAGAGGAGAAAACAGTATGAGATACAAGAAAAAAAAAAAAACTCCATACATATTTATATTATTGTCAATATTTATATGTGATGTATTTTCATTCTATGCCAAATATTGATTGGTATCGCTCGAGCCAACTTTTTGGGATTTATTTCAGACTTCAATTGGGTTATTTTTAATATTAGTTGTCCGATTAAGAAGGAAGTACAAAAAACGGGTCTTTTTGTTGTAATCCAATGATAGCAAAATTCAGTCTTTTTTAATACTAAACGTTATATTCTGACTTGGGCCCTGTGTGGGAGAAAAACTCTGGGGGGTGTTCTGATGTACATCAACTGAGAAGAAACTCGAAAAAAAGGTTTTACAATGCCTTGTTATTGGTCCAAACTTTGATATTTTTAATTTTTTTGTGTACAATATCAAGAACATTTAAGCTTTTATTCTCGTTGCTATTAACGTTAGCAAATCAAGATGGAAAATTCTTAAAGGAAAGTATGATTTTGATAATTTAGCCATATGAATTCATTATTGCATTAGTACAGTAATTAAGATTAACTGCGCGCACATCAAAATTAAAAAATATGATATTTGTCTATGTAAAAAATTACTTGTTTTGTGCAATGTGCTACAATGAATTTTAATGATTAAATTTGATTCCACGTTGATTTAAAAAAGCTCACGCCACATTTTATCATCCAACGAGATTGCAAACCAGGCTTTCATAACAAAACGATTACGAAATACACGTTTTTATTCATGTCCATCAGAAAGATACATCTCATTATTTCATTTCCGCTGATCACGATCCTTTATTACAAAACTTAAAACTGTGATTCCCACCTAAGAGAGCTACATGCATCATGAAGTGAATGGAGAATATCATCATTGCAGAATAGTGTCTGGATCTCCGTTATTTCCGGTGCTAACCATGTGTGGTGTCGTCCCTTTTTTTTTTTTTTATTTAGAACTTCAAATACATCTCAACATGTCCACTAGGATATTTCAAGCAATATATTGATCCGGCGTATTTTCCGAAAAGAAAAACTTGCTTTATTTGAAATATACCTATGACTCTGATGATATTTAATTTAAACGATATCTTTTAATAACAAGAAACATATGCTTTCATGACCATCTTTTGTTGGACAGCATAGTACATGGTAACATGCTGCAATTGTGTGCTAAATACGCTTTTAGATTGGAAACACGATTTATTAAAAATAAAATTAAAAAGACGAAGCCACGCATGAGTCTCTCATGGAGGAATAAAGTCTGGCAATACTCGATGATCATTTTAGGTATTTCTGGCCTGTTTCTATACAGCATGGATCTCTGCGGAGTTGATAGATAAGCAGCAAGCAGTATCAGTAGCTACATCTCACGCATTAGACAAGAGGGACAGAAACACAGGCATTTCCCAACTAGGATAAAACTAACCGAGTCTCAATTTGCATCTCTTATTTTACAAAGATGCAAAGGAAATTGCTCGCAATTTTGGTTAAATGAGCCCAATGTCGTCAATTTCATGCACATTTCATGCACATTTGATCCGCGTTACTGCTCCTTCCTCTGGTCTCTATAAATCATACATTGGGGCTTCCACCTTCTACGAGAAATGATGTAGGCCAAAAGTGATATTAACCAAATGGAGTTATTCCTACCGTTTGTGCATATGCTAAATTTCCGTTTAATGTGTTTTAAGGTATACATTCTCATTACATAATCGCACGGGGGAGTAGAGCAAAAAGGGGTTGAGCTACATCAGTTGTTCGTTTTCACATTTGAGGCTTTGCTGTTCATCTGCTTTCTACTCGTAGTCTGATGTATCATACAAAGATGAGTAAGATAGGATGTCCTGCTTGGCTTTGTAATATGGCATGATCTACAATAATGGTTGGGGTCATCTAAATCAGGCTGTACATTGGCATCTTTCATTTGTCCTCTGGTCGTTGTTGGAGAAGGCTTGGGGTCAAATGCGATCTGAATAGGCATGTATTTGCACAGCTTGTCGGGATGGGTAACAGTTGGTGGCTTTTGTGCTTTTCTCTTGGCTGATGAAGACGGGAATGCAACATGATGTTCTGTCTGTAAATGGATTTGATAGGCCTCTTGCGTGGAATGTGATACATTACAAATCCGGCAATAATTGTTGGGATCGTTTATGACGGGATGAGGGTACGATGAGACATTGGAAGCGACAGGATCAATCTCAACCTCGACCTGTGAACCTTGCAAACTCTCGGAAAGTGCTCGTTGCATCTTTTGATCTTCTGCTTCAATGTCAACAATGTCGGATGCTGTGTTGAGTTTTCTTCTTTTGTGATGCGGTGCTGTGAATCGTGTGCTAACAGAGCATCGATGCAATTTATCTGGATCCAAGGTAATTTTGCAGCTGGTACGGTGGTTATTGGACACACTATCCAATGCTCCTGTTGCTGACGTCGTTGCTGCCTGACAACTTGTATCGGCCACAGCTTGGTTATGTATGTCCGTCGCTTGAGAATCATCTGTGAGCAATTTGATTGTTTCCAATTTATCACTATTACGGCTATTGCTTGATAAATAGACATGATGCTTGTACCGAGCTCGGATGAGCCTATTCTCTGCATAGATCAAACCGCTATGACCTATTATCTTTGCTGGATTCATCATCTTGTTTTTGGTAATAAGACCATAATCTATGTTTGTTTCGTTCTTAATTTTTGCTTTTAAACTGCTGTGGCGAGAGTCCTTCTTGGTAGATTTCTTTTTATGATTCTGAGTGATGTGATCCTCGTAATCTGATTTGCTTCTGAGGGTCGTATTACATACGCTACAGTGAAAGGTACGAACTGGATATAGTGAATGCGTTGCGTATTAGTCTTTTTCAGATAAGCAGTGTTTACAGATATTCAATTCACCTGGCTTTTTTTGCGGCCTTGCGCATTGATTAGTTGCTCCATCTGTGTCTTTTGTAAATGATAACGTTTCATCTTTGTACGCTGGTGCTATGGCAACTTGAATCGTCCGCTCTTCATCTCGCACAGTTCTCTTGTCCTTTGGTGACATTTGACTCGAAGAATGTCTCATTGTATGATATGTTGTTTGATGAGAAGAAAGAGTACAATGGCCAAGTTTTATACAGGTTTCTGCTCAGCGACTCCAAAGCAAATCATGACGTCGAAATCACTGACGCTGATGATGCGTTGCAAGGTGGACATTGATGTAAATCTCTATTTCAGTACCCTTCATGCATATCTGCACAAATCAAGCGACTGACCTAAAATAAGGTGATTTGACAATGAGCTGAATGGCATGTTTATATAGATTCTGAGCATCGCATCTGCCAACCTATGTAGCCCCTGAATTTCAGGAGTAAATACATGATCTACCCCAGATTGGTTGACAGATTTAAACTATATCATATTATAATAAATGTTCAGTCCCTAAACACTTTTGCAACCCTCCAACATGGAAACTAAGTTTCTAGGCATCTGTCAGGCCTGGCTCATATATGATTAACCAGCCCCACCAGCCAAAATTAATTCAAGTCCAGACTCATAGTCTGTTCCAGATTGGACAAATTCTAATATTCTTCGACTCGATTGAACAGTTTTTGTAGATTCGACTATGTAAAATATGATGATCATCTTACGTCTCTTTAAGCTTTCTTGGAGTGTTTTTCAAGGTGCATCCAATGGTACTAAGTAAGATAGATGTTTTTAATAAACTTATCGAGCAATTCATGAAAATATGAAAAGAGGTTTCTGGCCAAAAGGTCGAAATTTTACATATCAAAGTCCCACAAAGATGGCTTCAGAGGTTGCTCTGGATCGATACAAACATTTTGATTCAATATATACCATAGTAAAAGCCTTTGTTATCAAGGCCAAAAGCACGATTGTTTGATTTTCAATAAAAATCATGAGGTACCCCTCATGCTTTTTGGTCGATTTTTGGCCATGTTTTTTTTGGTCCCCAAAAAGTTGAGCAATGGTGTCAGGAAGTAAGTGCTAAGTGAAAGCAACTGTTTGGTGCTATTATGACGATCTAAAACGGCTTTGATCGCGAAAAAACGCAGCTTAAATGCACTCAAATTTTGCTGTATTAGGCATACTCTTGACTGAAAAGGGACAATATCTGTATGATACTTGCCCATATATGAAATAGCTACATGTATATGGATGTAGAGCATCACATAAGAATCAGATTTACAGATAATATAAAGAGTTTTCATGTGTAAGTGGAAGGTCAACATGAAGGTAGCAGTGTTTTGATAAGATACGCAACGGCAATCGGTAGAGCGAGCTGCCGCTGCCCAGGTTGGTTCTCACCGAAGCGAAGGGTAGGTCAGGAAACCACCCAAAGTGTCGAAAGGCTCGTATAGGATAGAGATATGTTCAAGTGTTTATGGCGCCAGAATAATCTTGGGTGGTAGGATATTAAGTATAGTCAAGCTTTTGAGCTATGCCAACAAAGCATAAACAAAAACGAGCCATCAAACCAACAAAGAACTTGGATAAAACCTGGATTTAGCAAGACATTAACATCTGTCATTTCAAAGAGGTGTGTTAAACTCTACTCAAGGTTTAATTGAGGAATATCGGATCTATAGTGCTTCAGTGCCCCTAATGGACATTTTTTTTTGGAAGAATCTTAATGCTTTACCTGACAAGCCCTTGGATAAAACAATCTTCATGCAATGATGATCCTGCTAAATAAGCATTGACATTGACACATATAGCCTACACCAAGCCACACAAGTGACCATCTTATAAAGTAAACCAAATGTTGAAGCTGTTTTATTTTTTCTTTTTCTTCCAATTCAACAATATGAAGCATCAACCACAAGACAGCAAGGCGAATGCCAATTCCAAGTTTGCCAGAAACCGAGGATCCAAAGAAAGTATACCCCCAAGTGCAGGCAAAATCAAAAAGAAGATTAGAGATACGCAACGTACCATCAGCAGGGTAACGCAAATCATGAATGAGTATGTTGCATTACGACTAAACTTGCAGTTTACAACCACGTAGAAAGATGTACCTGCGGACGTCCTTACAGAAGCCAAGAGACGCTTGCGTGTGTTGGAATTTGATTTAGGAGAAAAGATTATCGATGACCATGAGCGTGACAATGCCTCGAAATACCACAAGGTGAAGCATTTCGGTAAGTGGATCGGTCGATGCTTTTACAAAATACTAGCGTATTCATGTGATGGCGAATCATAGAACGCAAAAAGGTGGAGAGAAAGTTGAAGCAAGCCAAGAAAGCATTTGAAGACGCATCGAAAAAGAGCGATGCTGAACCTGCCAAAATTGCGGAACTACAAGAAAAAGTGAAGGAAATGGAAATCAAGCTATTGTACACCAAGAATTATCCCAAAACATTGCCCTATATATCATTGTTTCCTCAAGCAAATGAGAACGACACCAAGAGTTTGACTAGAAAGACAAAATTGCTCGAAGAGATCAAGCAAGCAGTGGCTGATGGCGATAAGGAGTTGACAATGCTACAAAAGCGTTACCGTGATGTATACAAGGAAAAGCTGATTGAAAGAAAGGTCATTCAACCCGTTGCGCCTGTTGATATTGAGGAAATGCAAGTGGACGCCAAGAAGGAGGACGACGGTAACAGCAGCAGTGATAGTGATGATAACCAAGATGATTTCTTTGAAAAAGCTTAATAGAAAGAAATAAATGCTGTAAATATGTGTGTTTGTATGTAAGTTTTGAGTGGCAATTTATTTATTTATCTACAAAATGTATAAAGAAAAGAGAGAGAGAGAGAAAGAAAAGAGGAGGGGGGGATATTCACAGTGTGTGTATGTGGCAATCTTACAAGCCCGTCAGTCTAGTAATGATTCTTGTTCAGTAGTGGTATGATTGTTATTAGGTGTAGTTATAGTGGTAGTGTTATGATGTTGATATGGAGGTGGACGATGTGGATGTGTGTGTGCAGTGCCATTCATGTCAATCAGCGTTTCCTCTTGATCTCTCGATGTACCCATAGCCAACAACACGGTATCTCTTTCTGTTCCATAGGCTGGTGGAGGAGCCAATGTGCCCATGCTAGGTGCTAACCCCCACTTTTTGACATTGGCCTCCACAAATACAAAGCCTGCTTGACCCAAGTTGACATGGATCTGGCATGGGCCGTTTGCACCAATCGTAGGAAATAAATTCCATCGCAAGCCCGCATACGCCTCTTCCATCTTTCTTCCATTTCGAGTAAAGAACACAGAACCAGTACGATGTCTATATCCAACGCCAATCACATCACCATGTTTGTAAGGCAATCCATAGGGCTTATAGTTGAATGGTGAACTGAAGCATTTGCTTCCATTATTCGAAAAGTAACCGATAGAGTAACGATTCCAACCTACATTTGGAAGAAATAAATGTAAGTGTTTGTGTGTCTCTATCAATGCACACACATCTAAAAATTGCCAAACCTGGTAATCTCCAGCTAGGATATGGTTTTGTCGCTATACCAACCGATACTACAGTAGACTCGGGTTTATCGTACATCTTTGCCTCCCAGTAGTAGACTTCTTGATTTCTTGGTAGAGGTAGATTGGTTTGTACGCAATTTTCGCCTTCCATGAACTGTATCTCTGTTCTACCAGCCACAAAGCAATTTGCCTCCAATTCCCACTCAAACTCAAAGGCCGAGACACCCTTCTCTTGGATGGAGATCAGTTGTGGCGGTGTGATGTCTGTTGGGATGCTGTTGGGTGGATGGTGCTCTTGCCAGGCTGTTTCACTGTATTAGCTGTAATGTACTTGATTGTGCCACATACAAGCAACTCACTCTTTGCGCTCTCGTAGCTTAGTCTGGCATCCTCTGATAAATTCGACACATCCTCCTCAGTGTCGGTTGGGATGTCTTCCAGATCACCATTGAAGGACAAAGGCAATTCAATAGGAGATCTCGTAAAAAACAGCAAGACAATAATGACAACAAAGAACACAATGATGCCCGTTGTAAATATCCAAGTGTAGGCTGACTGCATGTTTGTGTATAAATATAAATAAAAAAAAGAAAGAGAGAGAGAGAGAGAGAGAGGAAAAAGGGAATAAATTTTAATTTTTTAAAACCATACGCTAATACGTCAGTGAGAAGGAACAAAGAGACCCCCCCCCCCTCTGTTACCTTATTTAGTCATCAACGGCAATGAATTCACTGGATGCATGAGCCTCCAATGGCTTGAGATACTTTCGCTTCAGCAGCTTGTACATCTCGCCATACAAAATGATAAACACCACCATAGCAATTACGATAGCCCACTCCCAGGTGATCCAGAGCATGTAGAAGCCCTTGATGGCTACGCTGGGTACATAAAAGAAGATGACGAGACATCCAATGTCAAACAGCAGTGTATACAGGATAGTTTTGCTCTTGAGCGTCTCTTTCAATCCACGCAAGCCCCATTCTGGATCTCGGTACGATCTACAATGAATCATCAAGACCAAGGTAGCACATGTGATTACTGCCAAAAACAAGCCTCGACCACGGAAGAAGGACTCGCATGTGGCAAAGTCGAAATGCGTCTCACAATTGACACCCTCCACACCATGATGACCGCCAGTGTAAAGAGGAATGATGAAAGCAACTAGACAAACAGCAGACAGCCCCAATGAATACACGACGAGATCCATGATGATTTCTCTGTTAAACAGACTTTCCTTGGGTGGGCGAGGTGGCTCCAGCATGACCGTCTTGGAGGCAGGCTGAATCGAGAGCTCGCCCGCAGGAGGAGTGAATGCAACGTACAAAAACAGCATCTGAATGGTAGACATGGGCGACACACTGCGGTTGTTGGGGTCACGAATAGCCAAGCACAACATCAAGACCAACCACAAGCCCAAGAGCGCAATCCAAAAGTACAGCAAGAAGCGTTGCATGTTTTGGTAGATGCGACGACCTTCGGCAATGGCACGAATGATGGTAGCAAAGTTATCGTCTGTCAAGATGATGTCGGATGCTTGTTTAGCGACATCGCTGCCATTCTTGCCCATGGCAATACCCACATCAGCAATGCGTAGAGAAGGAGAGTCATTGACACCATCGCCTGTCATGGCAGAGATATTGTTGCGACGTTTGGAAGCGAGGATCATCTTGACCTTGGTCTCGGGGCTACATCTAGCCACCACAAATGGCAAGTGAGGCAACGCGTCGATTTCGTCTTCGGTCAAGGCGTCAAATTGAGGACCTGTCATGACGAGCTGCTGGAGCACCTCAGGGGACATGGTCTTTTCATTGAGAATGTTGAGTTCCTTTGCAATGGCCGTGGCAGTAATAGCATGATCACCCGTCAGCATGTGAACAGAGATACCGGCGCGATGGGCTTCACGTACAGCTCGCTTGGACTCTTTTCTAGGCGGATCCAAGATACCACACAGCCCAGCAAACGTTAAATCACATTCAAGCAATTCTCTGCCATGGCTGGTATGCACCATGCTGGCATCGACGTTCTCGCGGTAAGCCATGGCCATGACACGAAGACCCTTGGCAGCCAGTGCTTCCACGTGTTGCACGATGGCATCCTGATTGGGCGTATTGACACACAGGGGTAAAATACGTTCAGCAGCACCTTTGGTAAACACGCAGGTATGATTCAATGGACGGTTGTACCAAACAGTCGACATGCGCTTGATGGTAGAATCAAACTGGTATTCTTCAATCATTTCCCATTCGCCCTGTTCAGTCAAGTCAGGCTTTCCACGGCCGAATTTGTGAGCAAATACTTGTAAAGCGACTTCAGTAGGAGCACCACTGGCAACCCAATCATCCGATTCAGTGTCGTCGTCTTCTTCTTCTTCTTGGTGCTTTGACAATTCAATGGCAGAGACTCTTGATTTCTTCTTTTCCAGCGCATGTTCGTCATGACGAACCGCTACTTTTTCATCCTTGGTAGCAGTAGCAATTTGATTTTGTTCCTTTTTGCGAATGGACGACATGTTGCATAGAGCAGCACATTCGACCAGTCGGTTCGTATCATGCGACAGGCTCGTCTTCTCCACCAGCGTAGCCTTTTCGAAATTGACTTGCTCATCCACAGCATCGTAGGTCTGGTAAATATCGCCTTGAGGAGCTAGGCCGTTGGGTGTCACATAAAAGTAGCCTTCATTGGGGGTCCAAAAACGCACCACCACCATCTTGGCCATGGTCAATGTACCAGTTTTATCAGAGAAAATGTGCGTAACAGAGCCCAATGTCTCCAAGACTTTGAGCTTTCTGACAATGGCTCTTTGCTTAGTCATTTCTTTACCGCCCAGCACCAATGTCACTGTCATCACCGTCGTCAAACCCGCAGGAAGAACAGAGAGCGCACAAGTGACAGCATACATGACAATGTCTCGATCAATGGTTTGAAATTTGACAGAGGCAAACACGACAATAACAGAGATCACGGCCACACAGAGCAAGCCAATATACATGTGGTTCATGCTCTTTTGAATACGTGTACGATCACCATCATTGCTTGCTTCAGACAATTGAGACGCCACCTTACCAATCTCAGTCTTCATACCAATGCCAGTGACAATAGCCTGACCACGGCCCTTGCTGATGATGGTGGAACTGTAAATCATATTGATACGATCGCCTAGTGGCTCATCTAATGAAGGAGTGTGAGCGATAAGAGCCCTTGGAACAATCAAAGTACCTGCCTTCCTTTTCCAGTACAATCAACTGCTTTTGCACAGGAAGAGATTCACCTGTCAAAAGCGCTTCATCGGCTTCCAGATTCGACAAATGGACCAAACGAGCGTCTGCGGCAGCTGAATCACCTTCTTTGATCAACAGCATATCACCAGGTACCAATTGTTTACTATCGATGGTTTGCTCTTTTCCGCCACGAATCACATCGGCCCGAGGACTACTGAGATCTCTCAAAGCAGCGAGTGTTTGTTCAGCAGCGTATTCTTGTTGAAACGAGAGATAGGTATTGACAATGGCTACAGCAATCAACAGACTACCAGTAATGTAATCGCCTAGGACATAGGATACCACGCCCAGCGCAATGAAGATCCAATTCATGACATCCACAAGTTGCCGCAAAAGAATCTTGAACCATGTGGCTCCACCATCAGAAGCAAGTTCATTGAGGCCGTATATCTGTTGACGACGCATGACTTCATCCTCAGATAAGCCGAGTGTAAGCGATGTCTGCAATTGATCCACTACATTTTCTACTGTCTTTGTATGCCAGCTGATCTCTTCTGCTACTGCTTTTTTCGTCGTTGGATCTGGTATGTGTATAGATGTAGACATTCTTTTGTGTGTCTGCATTCAACAAGTGATGAGAGAAAAGAGAGAGAGAGAGAGAGAGAAAAGAAAAGGATTTCATATTTGTGAGAGTTCAGTTTTAAAAGATTTCTTATTCTTCTTTGTGTAGCTGATATCTATTGAATTCTGAGGTTTAACCTTGGTTTCCATCATAAAAACGTTGATGTTACGATTTATAATCGTGCAGTAGCAGTATAGGCATTTATTAGGAAACGCGAGTGTGCTGAGTCATCCGGTGGAAAACGAAATATGACATTTATGCCTCCACTGCAACGAATGTGTGTGTTATTATTCTGCAAATAGATCCGTTTCAGGTTACTAAGTTACACTTGCCCTATACAAACAGTGTATGTAGTATGCTGTTGTTTGATGGCCTCGTTATGAATGCGCGGAAAAAGCACTCTACGACTACTACTACCTGACATCAATGATGCCAGCAAGTCGAGTAACGCCCTTCATTTGCATATGCAAATCACCCACATGGACATTGTCATTTAGCAGTAAGGGGTCAAGACTTTCTTGAATTGATCTATCGGTCGATCGCATCAATGGTAACAGTGCATGTAATCACGTGTCATATTTGTGGTTAATCTGTCGGCCCAAGCCAGCGTTTATCGAGTTACAAGTAAAATGCACACAAAGAGCATCCCATTTAACGCGTTGATTTAGATGTCGAACATCATATTAAGTCTCATTTCATATTGTATATATAATTTATGGCGAGAAGCCTAAAGATATGTACCATCGTCTCACGTTTCAACTGTCTATCTTCATGTGAAAGCCTTCTAAAGGGCCTATAACTGCGAGTCTGACTCTTCTGCAATGCTCCACCTCTATATCAATAAGAATACCCCCCCCCCATTAAATTGGCAGACATCATACTTGCATTGCCTCTCACTCCTCAAAAGTATGCCAAATCCAGTAGAATTTGGCTCCATTCGAGACGTGTTTTCTCGTACTGGAAGCTGTTTCAGGTCGCCAGAATAGCGCCAAATGATTGCTCTCATCTAGCAGCTACTGTCTGGCACCTTTGCCCAACTTTTTTGAGATCGCCAAAAATTCACCAAAATCCATGAGGGATACCTCATCGTTTTTGTCGAAAATCAAACGATCGCGTTTTTGACACCAAAAAATGAGGACTTTTACTAAGGTATATATCAGATCGAAATGTTTTTCTCGATCCAAGGCACGCCCTGAAGCATTGTTTGCAGGGCCTTTGATATGTAAATTCTCGATATTTTTGCAGAAGACTCCATTTCATATTTTCCGAAATTGATTAGTAATTTTGTTCAAAAAACTGACTATGAATAGCACCATTGGATGCGCCTTGAAAGAGTATTCTAGGAATGCATTAGAAAGCACTTTTTTTTTTGTAAGGAGTTGTACTCCATTTTTTATTTAAAGTCCACTAAATGTCATGATGAGGGAAGAAGAAGACTGGATATATTGAGCTTGGTGTGGACTGGGTCGATGTTGGAACCAGATGGCTTGTCGAGCGGCAGGAAAGAGTAAGTAGTAAAAGTAATCAGAGAAAGCGGTAGAGTGGAAATACCATTGCAGGGTGTACTGAAGAAGTGGAATGCTTGGGGAGGTGTATGTCGGTAATAGTGGTGAATGACAGGCGGCCAAAAGGAGGGGGCAAATCCAGCGCCATTAGAGAGCTTGTTGTTGGACAATGGGATCTAAAACTTGGAGGCCGCCATGATGACGAGGCTGTTGAAGGATTCTAAAGGATAGTTTGGGGAAGATACGAAAGTTAATGAAGGAGGACCCAAGGCTGCGTAAGGAAAGTAATTGAGCTTTGGTGAAAATAAAGTTGCGCATGACATGCCAGAGTTTCGAGAAAATAAGTGTGTTGAGAACGGTTGCTCTTCCACGAATGGAGAGGTTCCGTTGGGAGTGAATATGGATGCATTGTTGGATATTGTTGTAGAGTTGCTGGAAAGCGAGGTTGCGTTGGGATAAACTGGAGCATATGGGATAGCCAAGATATGTTACTGGATCAGGAGAGGTGCGGTCATGCATTTGGTGGATTTGGTGTGTAGCAAGAAACTCGCGCCAATCTGGTTGTGGGCGTCCAGAGAGCGAAATGGCTGTAGTTTTCCTGTAATTTAGTAGTGCATTCGATGCTTTCATGTATGTATTGATAGAGTCCTGCAGAAGAAGAAAATCCGAAAAAGTTCTTCAAATCGACTGTGTCACCTGCATAGGCTAGAATTTTGTACTTAATTGGATTGCGATGGGTGGGAGAGACTGAAGGAGTGTTGCAAGGGGAGGCTGGCGGAGAGGATGCGTTGGTGAGGCTTTCGGTTAGATCGTCTATGTCAACAGTAGGTGATGGATGTGGTGGGGCTTCTTGTTGTACATGGAAACCCTCAAAAGTAGGGTTCTGTTGAGTGGAAAGGGTCAAAAGCAATGTTGAAAAGGAGGGGACTGAGTGGATCACCTTGTTGAAGGCCTCTTTCTTGAGGAAAAGGTGCCGTGGTGATGTGGCCATTAATGTTGATTTGAATGTTAGTGGAGAAGAAAAGTGAGATGATACAGTGTGTTAAAGATTGTGGAATACCAAATTGGAGCATAGTGTGTTGAAGATATTCGGGATGAATACGATCATATGCTTTTTCTTGATCCAAAAGAAGAGCAATGGCAGATGAGTGGTTGGTAGTAGCTAGGAGTTTGGTGGTCTGTAATGTGAAGCCGTGCTCGCCAATGAAGCGGTTCGGCATGAATCCAAGTTGTTGGGGGCTGATTAGTTGTTGCATATGTGGCATCAGACGCTGGTTGAGCAGGCGTATGAAGATTTTGGCATCGCAGTTGATTAACGAGATGGGACGAAAATTCCTCAGGTCTGTGAGATCGCCCTTTTTAGGGAGCAGGCACATGCAAGTAGTGAGCCAGCTGTCGGGAAAGATACCGAGGGTAAGAACCTCCTTGAAGACGGCATGGGCAAGTTGGGCTGTTTGTTGGTGGGATAATAGCACCGCTAGGATTTCATAGGGTAGACCATCCGTACCTGGGCTGCTATGGTTGGGCGACCGCTGTGCACCAGTCATAATCTCGTCGATGGTAAATGGCGTCTCCAAGGTGGGTTGGCTGTTTACTGGGATCTGTGTTGAGGCAGGGATGGTGTTGCAGAGTTCAGAGATGCTGGTATAATCTATGGGGTCAGTAGTATATAGTTTACGATAAAAACATACTGCAGCATCCTGCATAGTCTCTGCCGTATCGCAAATGGAGTGGGTGTCTAGATGTTGGAGAGCTAACATGGTGCGTTGAATTTGTCTAGTGGCGATTGTGCGTTTGAGGTATCCGGCAGACGTTTCACCCTGTTCACACCACATTTTGCCCGCACGAATGGTTTGTTGGATGGAGATCTCCTGTTGCAGATCGCTGATGAGTTTCTCGATAACGGGTAATCGTTCTCGGAGAATGGTTGGTTGATTCTGATATCGTTTGAACAACTGGTTGCGTTTCCTTTGAAACCGTTTGAGCTGTCGGTTGCGCCAAGAGCTGTGGCGGCGACCAATGCGACGGGCAATGGTTTTCACTACGGCCTTGAGTGCATCCCATTGTGTTTGAGGGGAAGTACCTGGTTTCTGGAAGAACTGATCTAACGCCTGGTGTATTTCGGTGACGAAGTATTCGTTCTTTACTAGCTGGGGATTAGCTCGCCAAAGCCAAGTACCCTGTTGAGAGGAGGAGAATTGAAAGGTGGTATTGAGGATGGCATGATCAGTCCATTGGGAGCACATGAAATCAATGGAGGACGAATGTAGTTGTTGAAATAGCGTTGGTGAGCAGTAGACATAATCGATGGTCGACCGTGAGGTCCCGCCACGGAATGTTGGTAAAAGTGGCCCGTCATGCTTTGAGTGGGTACATTCGATAAGGTGAATTGCCGAGTAAGTCAAGCCAGCGATGTTGAGCCTGCATGGCAGAGTGGTGGTGGGGTTGATCTGACTGTATAGGGGGAGAGAAAGAATCAGTAGTATAGTTGGTATTGTCAATGGCATAAGGTGTGGCATGGTAATTAAAGTCACCTAGGATCATCAGAGATTCACGATCCACTGCAATCGTAGAGGGTTCTTCGCTTGATGTTGGAGGTGGTTGGATGGCAACAGTAATGGGAAAGGTGTCCAGAGCCCAGGTATCGGGGTGAAAGAGTGGAAGGGAAAGTAGTTGTGAGTAAAATTGGGCTCTGGACGACGCCGTGGCAGGAGCATAAATATTAACGAGTGTGATGGGTGAAAAGAGAGAATTGCTGTGGGTTACTTGACACACGATAATCCGGTCATCAAGAGTAATGTTGAGTTGCTGGATGTTGATTTTTGGATTGAGTGAGACAATCCCGCAATGGGATGTCCAGATACTACAGGTGGATTTGGAATTGCATATTCAGTCTATCTCGGACTGAGTCGATGGCATGAGTTTCTTGAAGGCATAGGATGTCATAGTGCAGATCTGGGTTGCGTAGAAACCGGATGAATTCCGAACTGGTGGTGGGGGTGAGATAGTTTACTGAGACTTCTGCAATTGAGAGAGCCTATCGTAATATTCGATTTACAATTCGACATAGGAGGGTTAGTAGCATATGAGTTCATAGAGGGAGCATAGGAGGTGGGGTTCACATAGTTACTCATTAGGCCATGGGGGCTGAAGTCTCGTCAGCTCGGGCAGTGTTGGTGTTTGGTTGGGTTGAGTTGGTGGTGTTGTTGTTGGAATCCTCATCCATGTTGTCGTCCTGGCCAGAGGCTGTTGGAGCAGTGGTGGCTTGTAGACGCTTGTAGGCGGGAACATAGACTGGCTTGATGGTCTTGGATAGTTGCATGTAATCGGCCTCAGGGATAATAGGTTTCTTAAAGATGAAGAAACGTGCTACGGCGAGTTGATGGTTGGGATCCTTCAAGCGGGCAATGATGACCTTCACTCTAGCCAGGAAGAGGCGATGGCATTCCTCAGCGAGGAAGGCGGTATCCTCAGACTCGGCATACTTGGGATCTCTCAGCTTGGTGGTGTCCATTGGATCAAAGGAGATGGGATCAAGCTTGTATTTGATCAACTGGTTTTCCAGGGCAGTGTAGTAGTCGTTGTGAATGAGCAATTCAAAAACATGGCGATCTGGGAAACGGATATCCAGGATGGGTCTGTTGTGGATTCCCATCGCATGGAAATCATCCCTCATTTTACTGATGGATGATCGGCTACGGTTTGGAATGTAGACAAACCGATATCCATGACTGGATGAAACGGCTGAGAATTGACGAGCAGCAGCAAGACCTGTGTCGTTGATCTCAAGGTTGAGGGGTTGATACTTCTTGCGAGATGGTCCTTTGGATTTGGGCTTGTTGGAGTTGGAGGTTGGAGCTGGTTTCTTGGCGAGTTCAGCAAAGGATGGTGGGTTGTTCGTGGTGATAGGAGGTGAAGTAGGGGTCGATTCAGGGGCAGTAGTGGGTGCCTGTGCCTGTTGGGCCACGAGTTCCTGAATTTGCTTTTGGGCGTCCTCAAGCTGTTGTTTGGTTTGATTCAAGGATGAACGGAGGGTGATGTTTTCTTGGATGAGTGCTTGCATCTTGGAGATCTGAGCATCTTGGTTACTCAGTCGAATGTAAATGTCCTTGAGGTAATCAGGGAGATTGGGGACAGAATGGATGTTCAGGTCGCTTAATGATAGGGGGGGGGGGATGGATGGATGGGTGGGTGTTGTCGTTACGGCAGTTGCAGTGGGCACTACAATGGGAGTGGCAGTGTCTGCAGCGGGTTGAAGGTTGTTGTCGGCCATGGTCTTGGTGATGGAACGGATGAGTCTGGTGGTAGTTGTCAGCTTGGGACGTTGACTAGCGGATGTTGGGAGAGGAGTATGAGTTTGTCTAGCTAACGTGGAAAACCGACGTTTGGTAGAGACAGATGGAAGGGGAGAGATGTTTAGTCGACTTTTAGCAGTGGTGGAGGCTGGCTGAGGTCGAGGAGTGGGGGGTTTTACTGGCTATAGTCGCTGGCGTTTTCACTGTATTTACTTCTGTTGTTGTCATTGCTCTGTTAGCGTTAATAGTGTTGTTTTCGAGGTTTGAAAGGCCCTAAAAACAATTTAGACGAAAGAAAGGTGTGTGTTAGAAAGCATAGGTTGATCATCACCATTTATATAGTCGAATTTAGCGAAACAGGTCGAATTAAGTCTAAGAAATTGAAGATCAACGAATCAAAGACAGAAAAATAATTCGATTCTTGCTGCTGGTTTGGCTGGCAAAATGAATGCGCATCAAAAGTAATTGATATCTCGAAAGCTAACAGGTAGGGATTGCAGTTTAACAAGATGGTTTGGCTCTAATACTTATTTACTGTGTTTCTTTATCTGATCGTTGCAAATTCCTCTTCCAAATGCGAGTTCTAATGTGAAATGCATATAATTGCCCGCCCTATCCCAAATCATTCTAGTTACCAAATCTGTAGGTTTTCAACAAGATTTTACGTTTTTACTTCAATCAAATGGCTTCTATAATAACAATAGTACTGCAAACGATAGAGCAAAATAAAGCAAAGCCGTACATCCAAGATCATTCCTTAACAGTGTAATGGCCGAGACCAAAATCAAACTCATGAATGATGTAACTGCAGGAAAACGAATAACGTCTCATTTTGTGAAATCACCAAACTGAAATTCAAAAAATGACCCTTTACTGAATGTGCCATAACTGAAAAAAAGTCGTCTTCTATCTTACTACAACCAACATGGCAAGCGGCAGTCAAGGAGTCAATGTCCCAGACATGATCAATGAATTGATCACAAAGAATAAAGTTATGGTAAGCTACATGAAGCACTAGAAATATAATACAACTCCATATCATTCACAGAAAAAAAAAAACAACCAAGGTGTTTAGCAAATCTTATTGTCCGTATTGCCTCGAAGCCAAGGACTTGCTTAGGGAGCTGAACATTGCATACAAAGCGATCGAGTTGGACCAAGATCCATTAGGTTATGTGATTCAGCAAACACTGGCTGATATGACAGGACAATGGACCGTACCCAACATTTTTATCAATGCAACATCTATTGGCGGGTATGATGATCTTGACGCATTGCACATCAAAGGAACATTACAAGAAATGGTAGCAGCAGCAGAATAGAAAAAGAGAAGCGTCGTTAAAGATGTCTACATGAATTTAAAATATTCCTAAAGACTTTTAACAAACCATTAAAATTGAACAATGATGATGAGGTTGATCATTTTACATAACTCGTTTCTTTTTCTTTTTCTTTTTCTTTTTTTTTGCTATTCTCTTCTCTCTTTCCCTCTTTCTTAGTCTCAACCAAATGACTGGCCCTTTGACACCATCTGAAAGCACTTGTCTGCTATCCAGGAGACGCTGGCTGAGAGGCTCCAGAATATTGCCTCTGAAAATCGCCACTGCCGCCACAACATGCCAACAGCCACAGCTCCAGCCAGATACAGATTCAGTTACCAGTTCTACCACGGCCATTGGATCGCCCTCATCTGTAAAACTACTGTTTCCATCTCTATCCATGTTCAACCTTCCATCCACACCCATCATGTCATCTACCCCAGAAGCAGCAGCAACAGCATGCAAGGAAATAGCTCCTCCACCTCAATTTGCCGTAGATCACACCAAAAGACATCGTCTCCTAAAGAGGCTCAAACCTCGGAAACGCATTCAAAAGGCATACCCATCTGCTTTTGAGACGTACTTGTTTGACGATGCCGTACCTGGCTTTTTGCAGCATCAGGGTATTCGACCTGTGCGTCTCCTGTTGGAACGACTACAGGCTTGGTATCTTCTCGCGAAACGGCTGTTACGACATTTTGAATTGCTGGCATCGGTTGAGCATCACGTATCGAAAACGTATCGCTCATTGGATCGTGTCAGTATCTTTCCAGCACCTAAGAAGCATCGTAGTAAACGCATCATCACACACAGAAACCGTCGTCGATTTTACAGAGATGAACGCCTCCTCAAAATCCATTTTGCCTTCCAAGACGGCGTCCGAGGCGTGTGCGATGCCTGGCAGCATTATCATAACGATGCGTCCAAAGATCATGCTGAATTCGCCACTTTCCTACGAAATGAAGCCATGCCAACACTTGCCAACATCAAACGAGAGCTCAAGTGGATGATCAAGTCGATTCGAGCAGATGACCGTTTGTCATTGAGCACATTAACATCACTGAAAAGGGAAGCTGCCAAACGCTTGAAGCGGCTGGATCGACAGTTGGTGTTTTTTGACCAACATCCATACCATGGGTATACCAAGAAGGATCCTTGGCTGATGAACGCGGGTAAGTAGCTTTGGCTCGTATTTGAATGTATGATGGTGCTCATCAAAACGACTGCTCTGTATAGCTGTTGTCAAGCAAATGGTCAAAGTGTATCGACAGGAAAACAAGATCCATGAAACTGTACTGCGACTACAACGAGAGACACTGATTTCAGAGGGACAGCTTGTGGAAGAGTTCAGACGTCTTTGTCAGCACATTTACATCATGAGAGAGCAATCCACACTCGGCATCGACAGTGGTCTCCAAAACATCATGACGACCTTTGACAGCGTGCACATGGACAGCGACTGGATCAACTTTAGCAAGCTCAACGAAACGCACTTGGTATCAGAGCAAGCAGCATTTCGCCATCCTGATCATTTGCAATACCCAAACCACTCGCACGCACTGCTGCAACCCATCTTTGCTGCACGCATGGAACGAAAATCACGCGTCCTTCACCATTGGCATGAATACATCTACGTCTTGACGCATGCTGGATTCTTGCACGAATATCGCAACGCCTCCAACTACCCCGCACGCCCTGATGCCTCCATCTATGTGCCTCATTATAAAGTCTCCTCTTTGGCTACCAATTTGCATCATAATCTCGTATTCCAATTGCAACCTCACAAAGCGTCTAGAAATATGCTCAAGAATCACGGTTGCAGTACAGCGCTACCCAAAGCGTGGAGAACATCAAAGACGAGATGGGGATGCACGGATCGCTGGACTTGGACCTTGCGCGCCAAGTCTGCTCAGGACATGGAGATTTGGGTGCAGCATTTGACTGAGAGTTCGGAAAGATATAGACCTGCTACAGTGAATGTCCTGGCCTTGTCTGCCATGCCTGCTCTAACACCATCGCCATCACCACCAGAGATTGTCGTGAGCCCTGCTGCCGAGGAGACGAATGAACAACAAGCAGAAGCAACAGAGACAGATGCATCTGATGCCGTCGAGACAGCACCTGCCGTTGAAGCTGATGCCGAACAACCCAGTAACACTAAAGAAGAAGCTCCTGCAGAGGCACCACCACCACCACCACCAGCAGAAGAGTTGCCTACCACACAAGAAGAGGCCTCTGCCGATCAAGAGCACAAGGACACTGCTGATACTAATGTTGATGCTGATGCCACTATAGCGACGCCTGCTGAAACTGAGGAAACAGTAGAACAACCACAAGCTGATAATGCAGTAATTGAATAAACATGTCTCTCATTTATTTACCATCTATGTACAATTTGTTATGGAGGGGGGGGATATTTACTGTGCTAAACTAATCAAATATGCAGACGAAGCAATCACATCCAAAGCGCATGCCTTGTTTGCAATCAAGAATTGATGGTTCAGCATGCTTGACCAAACCGTTGTTAATTCACTGATACAATGAGTGAGTGTTTTGCTATAGACTGCTATGGCGTCGTTCGTTTACCTCTGCTTCACTTTGATAATACCTTCATTATGGTATGGATTCCAGTCCAAGACATTGATATAGCAAGAAGCACCAACTTGTCCAAAGATGGACTGCAAGGCTTGTTGTATGCTCATACGAAAAGAGACTTCTGTGATCTCCACGTCTAATACTTCATCAGACCATCTAGAAAAAAAAAAAAAAAAAAAGGTAAATGACTATAGTGGTTGCTGTCTATCTATGAAATTTACATTTTGATCTTGAGATACTGCCATTCTTGAACAGGCTTAAAGTTCTTGAACCAAGGTTTGTTTGATACAGTCGACATGAGAGAGAAACAAGCAAGATTTTCGCTTGCTCCACCCAAGAGTCACATTCAAACTTTGTGTCAAGGATGCTTCGGCTTTGTCCAAACCTGTCCAACTTGTAACACCTACTTAATTCATCTTTAATTGGCACAAAGGCTAATTTAAGATCGAGTATATCTAAATCGAGATTTGACGCTGGAATAGCAGATCGATCAAGAATTGGCGCTGTTGCTGTACATGTCCAAAAACAACGCTTGTCGTGGCTGAAATACTAGAGATGTTGGGTTCCTGGTCATTAAACATGGCTATGTAATGACTACTGTATATGTCCAATCCCAGTGCTATGCGGATGAATACTCGACTCAATTAGACATCTTGAACCCAAAAAGCGAGTTGATGAGGTCCAAACAGATGTGCGTACAATATTCAAGTTTCAATGCCAAACACTACACGTATATTCGATTGCAGCTACACATTTCCCAATGAACGCTACATATTGGCCAGATACCTTGAATGGACTCGCTTTTGATACGACATGTCAAATTCCGCTGACATGGCGTATCACATAGATACAAATCTTTCCAGAGGTAGAATTGCGGAAGGATCATTAAATCATCAATCGTTTTGGCTTGTTTGTCATGATCTATGGCCTCTGAATTGTATTATTACTTGACGTTTGAAAGCTGTTCCAGTACTACGAGAATAAGCATTGAGTGACGAAAGGTGTATGATTGTGGCATGTTTCTGGAATGTTCAGTGCAAATACGATCAAAATCAGCTTTATAACGAATCCTCTAGAACAGCCCTTCTTTCACTGGTGCAGGACGGTTCAGTTTGTGGTACAATTCAAAGCTCTCCAATCATCCCATCTTCCCCCCTCTCCCTCTCTCTTTCTCTTTTGTTTCCCTCTTTTGCTCTCTTTACACACACACTCTCTCCTTCTGTCGCATTAGTATGGAAATCAACTTTATTGCGATCTACGATGGCAGCGCCAATGCCAATTTCCTGTTTGTTTCTGAAAGTATCAAAGATTGCTTGGGCTGGTCCCCTGAGGAGCTGCTCGGCCAACCAGGCTACATATTGACACATCCAGAAGAACGAGAAGCGCTTGCTTCAATACACTCCAACAATGTCAAGGACGAACGCATGTCATCGGTAGTTTCGTATCGCGCAAGACACAAGGATGGACACTATGTGCTGATTGACAATGTCGTTCATTTCTGCTACAACCTCCTCATCAGCACCAACTTTACATTGCTGCCAGACGATTCCAGCAAGCATTTCATGAGGGCAAGCTCGGCCGATGAAAGCTACTGTATACAGCCTGATGGAGCTATCAGATTGACTGGAAACTGGAGTAGCACCCAAGACAACATGAAGCATCTCCTTAGCAGAACTTATCCTTGGGACGTCAATGCTAGTCTCACAAATATGCAGGAACCCCGATTTTGCCTCTTTTTGAACCGATATTCCGTACATGCTAACATTGTGTTTGCCAGCAGCATGTGTGAAGAGATGGTTGGTATGAGTCAAATACACTGCATTGGCGATTCAATATATCAATACGTGGCTGAAAAGGATGTGGAAAATGTGAGACGTCAGATTAAAATCACCAAATCAAAGGGACTGATATCAAAATTACGATTCAAGTGGTCAAGGAAGGAGACGGGCGATAATGGCGATGAACAAGAAATGCTGATACCTATTGAAGCAGTGATCAGTTGTACGCATGACGGTTTAGTGCTGGTTGCTAGATTGATGACATCTCGAAAAACCATTCAAACCGATTGAAGTTTGTATATGTAACATAGTTTTTAATAATAAAAAGCAAGAGAGAGAGAGAGAGAGAGAGAGGGAGAGGGAGAGAGAGTAAGTGAGTAAGGGAGTAAGGATGGAGTGTGCGTATAAAAAGGGGGGATGTGTATCAAATAGAGAGATGAAATGCTAAAAAAAAAATGTATATCACTACTTAATCCAAGTCATCATACGATGCTGCTGCTCTCTTTCTACGCTCAGAACTCTTCTTGCTTCTCTTGGCCTTCACTTTCTTGTTACCTGCCTCAAAAGCCATAGCCTCGCGGTGATCTCTACCAAGGTTATCGTAATCCTTGACCTTGTAAATTCTAACAATCCAATTTTCTGAGGTGAATGCTTCATCCAACACGGACAATTCAGGTCCCTTCATGGGCAGTGGTTGATTACGCACACGATCGTAAGGTTGACGACCACCAAACACTTCGTTGAATCGATAGTAACTCATCTTGTACATGAGCGAATCCTTCATGGCTTGAGAAGCTTGGTCATCCACACGATATTCACCTTGAGCAGTAAAGAAATCAGACTCCTTGATCTTATCGGGCCAAATACCCTGAGCAATACGGATCATCCACAAGAACTTGTTGATATCGTCTCCGGAATAGCCTAAAAGACCACCGAAAATGACCAACACATAGCTGACATCGTGCTTCTTCATAATCTCATAAGAATCGGCTTCGTTGGTAGACATGGCACGGCCCACAGTGGCAATGTGTGTGTTGTTCCAGGTGTTGTTATCGACAAGCGTAGTGCGGTTAGAGAAACCAGCAATCTGGTAACCATAATCCCACCAAGACATGATTTTGGCATCTTCGTCCGTGTTCTTGCGCAACCAGTAGTAGGCTTCTCTGAAATCGTCAATGATGCGCTGAGAGCCATCAGGGTTACGAGAGGCGAGCACGACAGAGGGAGAAGAGTAGGCATTGGAGGTGACCCAGGTACAGTGCCAGACAAACATGAACAAGAAAAAGACAAATGTACCTACTACAATAATGCGAGTGTCGTTGGCAATGATACCAAAGACCTTCTTGCCCTTGGCGGTTGAGGAGAAAGGCTTCTTTTTCTTCTGCTTTTCGTCTTCTGCGCCAGAGGATGAAGTGACAGCAGTAGCTTCTGTATTGGAGAAATCGAGATAGGTATCCAACAAAGTAGAGATAGCCATACCGCCACAGATACAAACAACGGGCGTCAATGTCAACATCAAACGCACCATGACACCAGCAAAGTAGGAAGCAAAGATACCGTATACAATGACAAAGACATGCTCGTCGCGCAATGTCTGGAAACACAAGTAGATACCCACAGGGAAGACAAAGATGAGCATTTGCAAGTCAAAGAAGAACATGGGCCAGGCAGTAGGCTGATGCTCAGAGACAGAGGCAATGATGGGAATATGGATCTTGGCATAACCAGTATCCCAAAGAGAGTAGAAGCGACCGGTCCAAGGAGCAATATAGCCGCCCAAGGTCAAACCCACAAGAGCAGCGAAACCCAATACAAAGGTAACACCTACAAATGCCTTGAGCAGAATTTGGAACTGCTTTGTTTGAAGATGGCTACGCATCAAGTTGACAAAACCCATGATTTGGCAGAGACCAAACACACCTAAAGCAGCCATGTGCTCAGATGTGCGAGTAGGTTGGAAACCGACAAAGGGGATCTGCATTGACAGAAGTGTACCCAGAATGTAGAATGTAGAGTAGGACACATACACACGGCTAGAGAAACGGCCCATCAACATCAACACAAAGACGTGTAATGGGATAATGTTGATGATAAACACATAACCGCCCCAAGCAGCTACCATGTAAAAGTAAAAGAAGGCAGCTGCTGAAGCCCAAAGAGCAGATCCCAATTTGAGAGCCTTGATCCAGAGGTAAAATGTAAACATGAGCAAAAAGATGGCAATCGCTTCATTGTCATAGGAACCAGCGACCGAACGAGAGATGTAGCCTGGAGCAATGCCCATAAACACAGCAGCTAAAAGACCTGCTGAGCTATCTTTGAGCTCCTTTGTCAAAAGGTACGTTGCAAAGGCAGTGAGGCCAGAGAACATGGGAGCTAACAGCACACAAATGTTACGAATGTCTACTGGGAAATGGAAATAATGAAGTATGTTGTGAATGATGGCTGCAGTGACCATGAGGCCTGGATAGATGGTGCCGCCAACAACGCGTCCAAGAGGATACCATGAACGATCATCAAACCAGTTCCAAAATTCATAGAAACCATCTTTAACCAACATGCGAGTAGCACGGTAATTGAACCTACAAGTGAATGTCAATTCATACTGTCATAGCTGGAAACATCATGTATATATATATATATGTACCAAGGGTCAAATTCGTGAATAATAGACTCATATCGAACAATACTGAATAGACGTGACGAAAAGGCGACAACAGCAATCAAGCCGAGAATTGCTCTTTTCAAGAGTATCTTTTGGCTGCTGACATCCAGCTTGGCCATTTTATTGTGTAGTAAGTAGGTGTTGAATAGAGAGAAGGAAACAATGTGAACCCACACATCTCTAATTTTTAATAAAGCCAGCAAGCCATTTTGGTATTGGTGTATAAGTACATATTGCTTAATTACAACCTATGAAATCGCATCAAATATATAACCGCCGCATGACGTGTAGTAAAGCCATTTAGCGAGCTTTCACTGCTTGAATACAGTGGTAGTGGAGCAGCAGTTACACACACATGGAGCATGAAATCAAGTATATGCTTTTGAATGAGTCAAACACTGCTGATAATGCGAATTTGAAGGCAGGGCATAGAGAGCCTTTTTGATCAGGGATGAGAACTTTATAGGAACTGATAAATGCAACAAACAGCATCCAATTGGAATAGCATGGATGCAATGCTTTTCAAAGCAAGCCCTCACTATCGTACCTTGCTATGTTGATTTTCTACTGGGCATGTGCCAAATCAATGCGGATCCCTTGTTTCTACTGGATATTTGTCAATCCAATGTTAGATTTCGCCAACTGCTTTGCCAGCATGGCATTTTGCTAAACTCCATCCCATTTCATCTCATGGTATACCCGATATTTTAGGATAGCAGCACTTTCTCCACATCTCTTGGCTGCTTCAATAACAGATCTAAACGGTAATGCTTGTCATGTTCGTGCTCATGTCTTGATTTGGTATAGTGGATCATCCATGCTATCATCATCATTATACCATCGTAGGGTGACCGCCAAATTATTCAATAACGCGCCAGGTTTATTTAATGTGGGACCATGAGCTACTCTCATCTTTTTCTCTTTTTTTTCCTTGTTTTATAATCAAGAAACACAACACAACACAACAAGCAATATGAAACTCTTTCTCAGAGGTGCATTGTTCTTAGCAGCTCTTTTCTATGTGGTAGGTTTTGGGATGATGGGAAGCGAGGCAAATCAAACATGGATACTCAAATCACACACGCACAAAAGGTTCGGGCCCAGGACAGTGTCGTCAAGGTACTCGAGAATGAAATTAGAGAGGAAGTCAAGTTGGCCTCACAGGAGACGGATTTCTTGGTAGAGAAGGAAAAGACAAAGGCCAAGAGCTGTGTACAAAAGGGATCTGATTACCTTCAATATGTAAAGGGCTTGGTAGCAGATGCTCGCAAGGAATTGAAGGAAAACAATAACCGTAGACCCTCTACTCAGTACTCCATCGACGATATTGCCTTTACTATTGCTCAAGGCCTTCCTGCTTGGGTCTATCCTCATACTGCTTGGAAGGAAGATCCCACTACTCGTCGTAGACGCATTGCCAAGGTGTTGCGTACTTCATCACTCATCACTCGTCCTCGTCTCACTGTCATTCGCGATACCGCTGCTCTCTGGACCAAAACATCGTCCAACCTTCTGGAACACAATTACACTACTACAACTGAAGAGTCTTTCAGCTCTCTTTTGCAATCTGCCGAGGATTTCGTCACTACTGCTACTGATGCTGAATTAATGGACTCCTTATTCTTGGCTACTGGTTATGCTACCTTGGACGATGCCGTTACTCACTTTTTAACTAACAATTTGGAAGAGTTCAACCACATTATCCAGTCAATCAATCATGATTTCAACGAGATTGTAAGTTTGTCAGGGGATTTGCGTCGTCCATTGGAAAGTGTGCGTGAGGATGCTATTCAACAATCCAAGATGATCCGTGACAACTTGTTTGCCAACCAAATCGACAAGCGTCTTCGCCATCTCAGCTGGCACATTCGCACCGAATTGCAGCACTTGTCCCATGAACTGCGCGAGTTACCCGAGGAGGACAGAGATGCATCATCCAAGTTGTTGAGAAGACATATTGCTGATTCATTGCGTACGGAGATCGAAAGTTTGAATGATATCAAGATGACATTATCCAAGTCAAAATCAATCTACAACCATGTCTGGCAGAACGCTTATAACGAGTTGGTGCAAAATCCTACTTCTTATGATTACTGGGTGGATGTTGTTGCTGAAGTTAAGGAAGCTGTCTACATTTTGGGAAAGAGTCTTACACAAAAGCAACAACAACTGAAGGCCAAACCCACCAAATGTACCTGTGGCTACAGCAAGCACTAAATCACCCCCCCTTAATTTGTTAGGCTGCTGATTTAATATCATTAATTGTAAATAAACACTAAATCAAATAAGTTTTATACATATTTCTGGCCATTGCGAGCTCTTGTCTATGTGCGATCTCACATACAATGAAGTCTAGGGTATAATCCCGCTGCTCATAAACGACAAACCATGCTCATTGCGCAAATAATCTATCTAATTTGTCGAGAGCATCCTTTTGTTTTTCTGCATATGGCACTTACGAAAGCTAGTCACGACAGTTTCATAATAATTTTAGCTTTGCATCTGCTATTTTTCTTCCAAATCTTGTTACGGAACATAAGAAGTCGCTGGCTGCTGACTATATTATATATTGCCTGCTTTTAAAAGCAACAAACACAGTACTAAAGTAGTACCTATTATATTAATTCCCAATGATAAATTTAACAAACATTTTCCGCATATAACAGTGTGTGCAATGGACGCCAGATCATCAAATAATGGCACTCTATCGTTTTTTTTTTTTTTTACATAAAGACGAAGTTGAATTTTAAGTATTTGGATATACTTTTATTATTACAAGCACAAAATCATATTAAATGCTAGATCAATAGGAAATCAACTACTAGTTGTAGACCTTTGCTACTCCGACCCCTCAGCCAATCAAATCGCTTGAAAACTCCGCTGACCTAGAAAAAAAATTGCGAGGGTTTCCCTCTGTTTTGATGTGAGGCAAAACTTTAAGCTCCGCTATAGAGCAATATAGCTGTTACTATCATCAAATTTCCCTCAGGTGCTAGAGCATGCCTTACTTACACCACCTAGCTTTAGATTCAGGCATTGAGACCCTCAATCATCACTAAAGTAAGTAGCGATAACCAAGTGGAGGCGGCCTATCTACCTCCTAGCCTCGGATAAAGTCTTGTTGAGCTTCAGAGATAGGCACATCCACACAACGTAAAAAAAAGGCATGCTTCAAAGAAACATAATGATAATAAAAGAAAGAAAAGAACATACTACTACTATAGGAGTATAGAAGTACGTACGCAAAAAAGGGATACTCACACAAAATGAATCAAAGAAAAGTATACCAAATACAACATCAGAGACGTTCAGAACAGCTCGTTGTTGTTACAACAAAAATACATACATGAGCGACATGCATAGTAATAGTCGGATGTAAAGCAACATAACCAACAAAAGAAGAAAAACGTAACAAAGCAAACATCATGAATGCATTATCATGAGAAAGGAAGCAATAATACAAACGTTCAAAGAAGTTTTATATCATTGCGACCAAAAGAGAGAAGATACTTACTTACCACCACCGTAGATAGACCAGAGGATAGGCAATCACCGAATATAGATCAGAAAACAAGCATGCACCAAACACAGTAGACCAGAAAAGACCATATTAGCAGCAGCAGCAGTAACAGCAGCAGCAGCAGCAATACCAGCACCATAGACAAACCAGAGAACGAACGCCACCAGCTGAGACCAGACAAAGACCAAAGAAGCAACCACCAAACATGATAAACCAAAGAAGCAGGCAGCAGAGATGGCAGAGAAGTAATGGCAGCAGCACTCACTCAAACAAGCAAAAAATTATCTAAACCTAATAAACAAATTCAATTAGTGTTAATTCTACGTCTTCCAGTGCTCGTTATCGAATGATACCTAATGAATTCCACTTTAAAAGAGCAGTATTAAGTTCTTCTAACAGTATAAGACGGTGTTATCGGAAGCTAGAGTGTTATTATTAATTAAACGATGTCCAAAACCACCATGGTTTGATACTAGACGCGTTTTGCAAGAAAGGGTAAAAAATGGCGGTATGGAAAAATGAGAGGGCACCCTATCCGACGTCACGAGCAGTAGATTTAGTCTCAGTCTTGTACCGTAACAGCCGTAATTGTGGCAATTTAATTTGAAATTGTGCAGTGGTATTTTCGTGTTCAAACTTGACTTAATCTCACATCCTTTAAACGTTTTTGCTAAATTTGGCTATGAAAACTGTCGTTGTCAAACCCAACTTTCTAATACATCTCTAGAGGATTAAAGAAGCAGCATCGAATGGTGCTAATTACTCTCAGCTTTTAGACCAAAAATAATGAGCAATTTCCAAAAATATGAAAACAGGTTTTCTGTGAATATGTCAAAATTTAGCATATGAAAGTTTAATAGAAAGAGTTTCCAATGTTGCATTTCATCTTTACAACCAATTTTATCTAATATGTATCATAGAAAAAATCTTCATTTTGACATGAAAAATGCGATTGTTTGATTTTCAAGAATTTTCCCTTGTTAGCACTCATGAAAAAACGGTGATTTTCATGAATTTGCAATGACCCAAAAAAATTTAAGATAAAGCATCAGCAAGTAAAGCGTGGCCAAGAGAAGGCGTGTGAAGCTATTTCAAGCGCTCAAAACGCTTTGTGGCATGAGTTATTTGTGCTTCAAAATGGCCAAGTTTGGACAGAATTTGGCCTAAAAATAAGGCGTATTTTGTTGTGCTGCCAAAGAAGTAAGTAAATTACAGTTTTGTCTAATGCCCCTAATATTCTGCATTGTACGGAACTCAATCCCTAAGTTATCGACGCTTTTATTCTAAATTTGAGAATTAGTTCTGTTTGAGATGCTCGAATACAGTGATTTTAGAACTTGAGCGTCTGTTATACTGTTTGAAACTAACGACTTGCTCGGGTTGACCAAGATGCTTGTCAGGCCGTCAGGACACTTTTGATGGCCTTCCACAACAGGGATATTATATTTAGCCATAAAACTAAACTTACAGTCTATTTACAACACAACGTGGGGCAATTATAAGTAAGGAAAAAAGTGGTTGGTACGAGAAAGTTTGAGTAGGTGTCGGCAAAATTAGGGGATGATTAAACAACGAAATCTTGTGTCAAAGTCGAGCGTAAAGTGAACTAGACTAGATTCCCATCATAAACAAAGCCCAAAATAAATGTCATCTCAAACAAACCATGCTACCATCAGCAGATAGGCATGCATAATAATAGTATTAGCATGACGATAGCAAGGGTTAAATGCTCTAAAATAAGAGATGACAGATACTAAAGTAAATGTCAAGGGTATTGTAATGTGTTGTATCATAAATATACCTAAAAAGGATACAGGCTCAACAGTAAAGAACTATTCTTTACGCATGATTCAGAAACCATATATTGAAATACCGTTCTTGATCCATCAGATCAACAACTAAATGACCCAACAAAAATATATAAAGTAATGGAATCACTGGCAACTACTAAACTGCTGCCAGATAAGAGATATAAACCAAATAATATAAATAGAGACGTAGAATATACATTTTATTGCACATTATCCTAATTTCGAATAAAGAAGGATTTTAGCAGTATTCTACCTGCTTTTTTAAGCCTCTTTTTTACTGCAGAGTTGCCATTAATATCTGTTGCGTTTGGAGTGTGGGCGTGGGCAGCAGCAGCGGTGACTATAGTGGTGGTAGTTGTGGCAATAACAGCAGCAGGAGTGATAGTAATATTGGCTGCATAGACTGCTATTGGTTTCCCTTCAGATTGTTACACAACGTTTGTGAGCATCTGGCGACGAAGAGCAGAAGAAGGACCACGAGGGCGAGCAATTACGCGTCTTTCAGCTGGAGTGGAAGCAGTGAGAGGAGGAGCAGCTGTAGAAGCAACAGTGGCAGCAGGCAAACCAAAGGAAAACAAATCACCATCATCGGTAGCCCAGTCCATGGCAAATGGCTGGCAAACAGGAGAGCACAAACCATAAGGATCTACGTCCATAGCGGTGGTTGATGGCACGAGATTCAGGACCATCAAGTGCGAAGACGTACTGGCACCAGGGAAATCGACAAGGACATCATCCATGTCATCGGAGACGAGAGCAGCAGGAGAGTCAATATCCATTGGCATTGGATGGCTTGGGACACAGATATCCATTGGCTCCACAGTAGGAGCAGGAGTGGTAACAGTACCAGCACAGATTGCACCGGCAGAAGCAGTAGCACTAGCCTCCAAGAAAACTGGGAGGAGAGAGCTCTCAGCAATGGCAGCTACCTTGCGCTTTTTGGCTTGCTCTTGATGAGCACACAGAGCAAAGTCACCATCGCTCAATCTCTTCTTACCAGGGATTAAATCACCATCGGCACGAGAAGAAGAAAGAACAAAGGGGCACACCAAAGAAGCAAAGGAAGCACCATCGGTCTGGACATCACCAGAAGTAGCACTGTTGATTATAGCGTCAGAAAAACCAACACTAGTATCACAAGTACCACGAACAGTACCGACAAGAGTGTCACCGCAGCAAGCAGCAGCAACGAAATCATTATCAGCACCAGAATCAGTAGTAGAAGAGTTACCAGCAGCTTCACCCGAAGGATTAGCATCAGGAACACAACTACCACCAACAACAGCATCCAAAGCGTTCATCGTCTCAGTAACATTTGAAGCAGAAGCAACAAAAGTACCATCCGAAAAATCAATGGAGCGAAAAGCAGAAGACAAAAAGACAAGCTTTCTATCAACTGGAAGAGCAGGAGAATCACAATTGCTTGCAACTTTCAAGCCCTTTGCATGCTTGCAGTAAGTCTCGTCTTCAACTTCAGGCATGCGAGACTCATCCAAAGACAAGTCTGCACTAACTGCATCACTTTCTGGCGAGACCAAGAGGGGGCAAGTTACAATAACAGAGCCACCAACAGAGAAACGATACTCGTGAGGAGCTTGGTTAGGGCGTGAACCACTAACAGAAGAGGAAGAGAGAGAAGCAGCCTCATCAGCAACAAGTGCGTCAAAGGACATGCCGTACTTACCGGCAACAGCAGCAGAGACAGGATAAGCAACAACCACTGCCTCATCACCTGGATATGGGCCGCCTTGCAAAAGCAAAACGCGCCAGATGAATCGAACAACGATTATCAACAAGAGAGCTACAACTGCCGAAACAACTGCAACAATCGTGTCAGGATATTGATTATCCACAAAGTAGAACACAACATCCATACCTACCGTCCAGAAAGGAGAAGCCAACAAAAGACATAATCCAACTGGTGTCATAAAGAACATCAACAGAGCGAGAGCAATAAGAGCAGAGCTAATAAGGCTGAACATGTTGAGATATAGCGTTTTTACGAATAGAAAAAGCGAAAAGATGGGGAATAACAATATACAAAAAAAGATTTTGGATATACTATTAAAAATTTTTACGCGTTCTTATCAGTCGCTGTATTGATTGGCTGTCACTACGGCCCAACTGATGTTCTCATGAGAACATCGAGGTGCTCATATAAGAATCTATTTTATGTTCTCATTCGAGAGCATCGATGTTCCCAAAAAGTGGAAAATGCTCTCATATGGGAACATCGGCGTTCCTAAAGATCTATTATAAGTCGGCCGATGTTCTCATAAGAACATCCGAGATGTTCCCATATGAGCACATCCATGTTCTTAAATAAGAGCAAATGTAGCTGTTTATGAGCGCATCGATGTTCTCAAATCAAAATATCGATGTTCTTAAATGAGCAAATCCATGTTCTCAAATGAGAACATTCATGATCGCGCATGAACCTATCGATGAGCTGAAATGGGATCATTGAAGGTCTGAATCAGCTTAAATATTGGTAGCTTTTATTGGCCCATAATTCGTGGTTTAAATATTGGCAGCTTTCATTGGCTCAGAAATTGTGGTTTAAATATTTATACATTTATTATTGGTTAATTTTAATGGGTAAACGAAGGCTACGTGCCAAAAACGTGCAATAGTAAAGCCTTGTAGTGGTAATGGTCATGCTGTAGGCTATAGTAGAGTCAAAGATAATTGAGAATAATAGCCTGGATCAGTATGAACTGTTTCGTGTTTCCCAATATTATCAGTTTTTAGGGCAATATAAAAGTGATGTTTCCAGGCGAGATCCAGAGAGAGCATAGAATGAAAAGGTTGAAGCCATCAACAGTGTTCCATGTAGAGCAACGAATTGTACAAAAGCCAGCATAATATCAAAGATGTGCATGTACCTATCAGCAAAGATGTGAACTGAATCAAGTTAGTAAAGCGTTCCAGCAAAGGCGTGATGACTACAATACCTCTTTCACAAGACAGATAGAAAGTACAGCACACCACCAGGCAGCGACTCATTGGGAGCAGACATTCTTGAAAAGAAAACATCGAACGAATGTTAATGCGTCTTATGCCGTCAGAAGTATCAGATGTATAGACCGCATCATTCAACTATGAAGCATCTGCCATTGTTCACTGGATGCAAAAGGGGATCCATAAAGTATGCAAGAGATGTGCTCAGTTATCAAGCCAAACCCGCCAGACCCACTCGACGCTGGCACTAGTTAACTTATCAGGTGAGTAACGACTGATTTTTCCTGATGATGCAGCAAAAGATGACTTACTACTTGAACAGTGATAGCAAGAAAGCAGATAAATGGAACCAGCAGGATGGAGGGAAACGGTTAACCAAATGGCATACTTGCGACATCGAAATTGACCTGGCAAAGTCGCCTTTACATTTCTACAAGATATTTGTTAGCTTTTATATGGCAAGAAGCATTGGACATACCATAAATTTGTTGTTTCGAAAGGATGTAAATGAAGATTCCATCCTGGATACTATGGCAGGGATATGAAGCTTCCCACGGCGCACATTTGAAATGGTATTCCTTCTTCAATGGCATTGAAACCTAGCCTCCACCTTTAAAGCCATGGACGGTAAATGCTGCCTCTTCTTCTTGCTGCTACAGAGCACATGTCTCTTATGCTGATAGAATTAAAGTGAAAATAGATGAAAAATGAAGAAAAAAGAGAAACAAAAGCACTTTTTTCTCAAGGGATGACCTAAATATACAAAGTTTCGATCTAAAAATATAGAAACACGCTCTAATCATGCACAGTATCAGACTGATGTAACCAAATCAAGTAACTTTTTAAGCTGAAGTGACCTATCAAATGTGATTTTAAATGTGGCATCGCAGCTAATCCATCATCTCAAATCCCAATAGAGCAAGGCAGCATCAAATGTACAAAAGCAAAGTAATTTTATTTTGGATGAAATATACAAGATCTCACAAACGCACACACCATTACATATTGCTAGTAGTACTAAGGTTGTCATCATCCTCAGCATTACCAACACCGGCAGTTTGAGCAAGCTGGGCAATATCACTGTCTCCAACAATTGCTGATTCAGTCTCCTAAAAGCATTTGAAATGTTTCCAATACTTAGATGTTAGCCATGGCCAAAACAAATAATAGGAGCTACTTACCAGAAGATGGCTTCTTGCCTCGTTTTCTTGCAAAGACACATTGGCAGCAGCATTGGCAGCATTGGCAACATTGGCAGCAGCATCAGCAGCAGCATCAGCAGCAGCAGCTCGGTTTCTGCTTGCTCTATTTGCTTTGAAGGCCTGGGAGAGCAACAACCTGGCACACCACTGCTTCTTGCAGAGACAAATCATGAGATTGTCCCGTTGCAGGGCCTGCTCCTCCAGTGCCAGGCTGTAATATACCTGTTCATCCTGCACATGGTCCAGGGCATTCCAATGCGAGATATTCGGATGCATCACCAGTATAGCCTCCAAGACCCTCTTTGCTGTGCGGTGGAGCTTCTCCCTGCGCGATTTGAGCTGCCCTGGTGTCAAATCGGGTACAGATGCCCCATTGCATAGTTTGTGTAGATGCTGGAGCATTGCGTTGTATCTCTCCACAGGAGAAGCTCTGGCCCTGCCGGTAGGGTTTGCTTCAATTACCCGAGGACCTCTTCTGTTGCTGTTTGATAGTACCTGGCTTCTGTAAGTGGGATCCAGGATGCTTCTTGTTGCCAAATCGCTGCCTGCGTCTTCCAATGGCGACATGAATTGCTGTCGAAATCCATCATTCAAGACGTTCAGTTGTACGCCTTGTTGGCTGATTTCGGATCTCATTGCCATCATTTCTTGCAAGAGTCTTGCGGTGAAGTCAATACTGGCAGCGTTGTTGTTGTTGTTGTTGTTGTTGTTGTTGTTGTTGTTGTTATTGTTCATGGTTCGCGCTGATAATAAAAGTTTAGTAAGCAAAGAAAAGATATGTTCAGAGTTGTGTTGTACCGTATATCTCGTTGCGCACACACCACCACGTTGTTGAACGTCATTCGGTTCACAGGCTTCATGCAAGTAATGCTGACCTCATTGTACGCCCATAGTATAAGCATATGTGCACAGTGAATACCACTCGATTTGACATGATGTTGAAAGTGAAATGACGTAGAAGTAGCCTGAGGCGACATATCACATCATAGGAAACACGTTCCTTACTTGATCTTGGACTTTGAGTTACCAAACGTTATATGCAAGACTACGTATCACTTGCTTGTAAACGATGATAAACGCATTTGTTGGCGAGCGCAAATAAAACTTGAATTAGTATATAAAGCTGCCACTTGAAATTTGTTTTTACTTGCCTATTTTTCTTGGTTTCTCCAAACATGTCATTCTCAATCCGTATATCACGAGAAACAGAGCCATCCTTCTGTACAAATTGCTATACCAGCTTTGACAGTGCCCGTGCTCTACGCAACCATCGCCGAAACTGTCGTGCTCCCATTTTGAATGAAGATCAAGATGTTGAAATGGAAGAGCAACCTCCAGTGGAAACAACGCTGATACAGCCACAATCTCCCCCCAGTGCGCTAGTCACAGCCAATTCAGATCATGCAAACCAGCTGCATGATGATGATGCCATGAGTGATATTGAAGAAATGATTCCTGCTGCTGACGATGCTGATTATGACTACGCAGGCTTTGAACAGACGCCGGGTGCTGCTGATCTGCTGCCTATTGTCGATAATAATGGTAAGGAATTGCAGCGCTAAAGTAGATGTATATACTCACAATAGCGGATTCCACACATGCGATAACAGGAGACAATCCAGAAGAACCAGGGCTTGAATTTGATTTGCTAAATGTCAAATACAAGACAGTTGGAGTAGTCGACCCAGATGCAGAAGATCAGGCTTGCTTCTACGATTGCAGATCCCTCGAAGACATCAACCAAAATACATATACAACCACAGAACTGGTTTCGATTGAGCTGTATGATATCGTCAATGATTTTGCTATACCACGGGATGCATACAGAAAGTTGGTCAGGTTGATGAACACTGTTTTGAGAGATACAGAAAAAATTAGTCGAGGTAATTCGCATTGCAATGACATGTCATTTATACAATAACTCACCAGCTTCCGATCCTCCCCCCATGAACTGATAGAAAGCAATCCGGAGATCATGCATGGCCCTCGTGTGCAAAGCATGCTTCAGCGCCAATCATCGTTGACATCCCATGAATATGATGTGTGTATCAATGGCTGCAAGCTGTACGCATTGGAAGTAGACGACGAGGAGACAATTTGTAATATTTGTTCCCATGAAAGATACGATGCACGGGGAGATCATCGAGCCCTGTCAACAATGAAAGTCATGTCAATTGGAGACATCGTATCACGATTAGTTGCGAATCCAATAACGAGAGAGGAGCTTCGGTACCGACATGCCTACGACAACAGAGACCTTGAAGAGAATCCATCCGATGTTATCATTGCTGACGTATTTGACGGCGCCACGTACAAGTCCATCAAGAATACGCATTTCACAAATGACCTGGATATCGCAGTTGCGATCATGAATGATGGCTTTGTAGTTGAAAAGAGAGGTGATCGGCTATTCACAATTATTCATCTGATGGTGTTCAATTACGATCCACACAAGCGTTACAAGGAGGAGTACACGCACGAGCTTTGTATCTTTCCAGGAAAAAAGAAGCCCAAATCATTTGACTCGTTCATTTCCATCATCTTGGCAGAGCTCCAGTGGCTTTCTACGTATGGAATGGTAGTCGAAACAAATGATGCTGGGCCAATTCGTTTGAAGGTTCATCCTCTAATTTGTGGTGGTGATACTCCAGGTAAATATCCTGATTGATAAAGCAACTAATCAGCATCCACAATGGCTAACATGAAATTGATTTACCTACCTGCTTTATTCTAGCCGTGTTTGACTGGAGCAAGTGTGCTCATCATGCATCTGAGTATGGCTGTCGTTGGTGTCTTTCGCGTGGTATGCACCCTGATAATCGCAGCCATGGGATGTACTTTCCAAATGCTGGAAGCATGCGTACGAATGAAGATTACGAGAGGGCTGAGTCCAACCTTGGATTCAACGGTGTCAGCCTTTTCAATCAGCTATCGTCATGCATTGCACCCCAATGCTTTGGATTCGAAGAAATGCATACATTAGCACGAGGTGTTGGTTCAGAACTCTTCGAGATGCTCACTGTCGACCTGTCTCCGAACAACACAAAGTTCTTCTACACATATCCAGATGGTGAATTGGAGCGAGAAAATTATCCATTTTTCATTCCAAAGCAACGGCTGTTCGAGATTGGCAAAGCAATTGAGGACACAAGATCATATATACCAGTTGCATTTGATGGAAGCTTTTTGAATCTGGTGGAGAAGCTACGAGGCACCCGCAGTGTTGACTATCTTGATAATTTGCTGGTAAGATCAGATCCACTGTAATCTGCAAACGTACACATGTAAGGCGTGAATTAGGATCTGATTATTCTGATTTGAAATAGACCATCATACCTACTCTCTTTGTCCCAGAATTAGCCAGTCCACAGGCTAGGAAAGCAATCATGAAGCTGGTTAGAGGCGTCTGTCTTGCATTGCAATGGGAGTTCACTGAGTCTAGGTTGGCAGAGATTGATGAATGCATTGACTTCTTCATTGACTACTGCAAAGCTCAGAGAGATGCCATGTGCTTGTCACTTTCGGTCTTCCGTCCCGTAATGCATCAGCTTACACATGTAGTGTGGATGATAAGAGAAATGGGGCCAATTGTAGCCTACTCCTCACGAAGTCAAGAACGGTTAGTCATCTATACATGCTATGTTTATCACACACATCCAGTTACTTACATAACAACATCATCCATTTTACAGAAGCATTGGAAAGTTTGGTGATTTGATAACTGGCAAGTCAAGGACAGGCAAGCAATCTTCCAACTTGATTGAAATTGTTGCAATCAGAAACCAGCTGAAAAGGATCTTCGACTCAAATGAGTTCCTCCAAGGCATTCGACCGCAGCCATATGCATCCACCACATACCTCAATCATCCAGAATCTCTAACAAGCTCACAGTTGTGGGAACCTGATCAAGAAGAGACAAATTTGGATCATCATTTTGGCTTCGATGGTACTGATCGTGCTGAACTCCATGGTGTTCCAATTGCAAGATTCAAGCGTGCTTTGTCGAAATACTATTGTAGGATACTCTCTCTTCAAAGGCTGAACAACAGTCCATTGTCAATGACGATCAAGGTTGCCCATCGTGCTCTAATCGGTTCTACTGTCATAGGATCAGAAATATACAGAGAGAAGATGCATGAGTTTCGTAGAAGCAACCATCTGGTCATGTTTAGGTCAACTCACCTCAATCGACTTAACCACCCTGTCTCCTGTTGGTTTGTTTCGCGAGTGATATTCTTTTTCCAACATGTCTATGATGGGTCGACCTACTTTTTGGCTTTCGTTGAAACCATGAAAAATCATGGTGTTGCTTCTCACGACAGGTCTGTCCCTTTTGTTCGTATGAATGAGCCTGTCGAACAACAAATTGCAAGAAGGGTGCCGAGAGTGATTGATCCCAAGTATGCTGTCATTTCTATTGACGATGTTGAGATGCAAGTGGGATTGGTGAAATCTTTGGATAACGACTTGCACTTTAGCGTCATTGCAAACTACCATGCGTTTGAACAAGATATGTCGATCGATGCTGGCGATATTCGCAACCTTTAACGAGGATTGAAATCGCAACATACAGATTTTTTTTTTTGCTTTCGCGTAAAACTACCCACTTGAGGCTACGAAATAAAAGATAATACATTTGTCAATACAATACATAGCTACATTCATTAATCATACTTGTATACCTCTTACAGCTTTGTTGTCCATGAAGGCATGCGCAAAATAATTATAAAAAAAAATAATAAAAGAAAAGGATCCGCATCACTGACCATCAAAGCATTTTGAGAAAAGCATAATTAACCCAGCAAGGTTAACGTCCAACGAAGAAAAAACGAGTTTGCTCGGATTCGAACTGGCGACCTTCAGTTTGTTAGTCAGGAATATTACCACTTTGACATAACGACTCAAAGTAACCAGAAACTCGGGTCACGTGATTTTTTCTCCTGATTTGTTTCAAATTGAGCAAGTTTGGAGGCTTCTAACTTCGTAGATAATGATGCTACGAATTGGCGTTCGGTACGAAAAATAAACAAAAGAACTCAAAAAGTCTGACCATACCATTTAAAAGCGCATATCTGATAACTATCTTCACAGTGTAAAGCCAAATGTTCTGATATGGGAACATCGAGGTGCTCACGAGAACATCGATGTTCCCAAAAGAGCGCATCGATGTTCTGTGAGAACATCAGTTGGGCCGTAGTGATGTAGATAGTATGTAGAGTATCTAACTGGCTTAATGTAACACTTGTAATCCAGAGCGTAAGCCCGGATTAGACTATAAAGTAACGAAATTTGGAAAGTGTCACTACCATCATAGTAACCAAACAAGCGAGTTTCATGTCTTTTCCGCTTATTACTAATGCACTTTTAAAGTAAATGAAATGTGTTGTTGTCATATATGTTTTTTTTTATTAAGGGTCATGCTTCCATGAGATTGGCTTTCAGGGCTATTAAACCTGGATGCTTTAATATGTTAAATAGCCGTGAGCTATGAACGAGATGCTGGATTACTTAAATTATGAGAAGGAAATAAAACAGTGAAGTATTAGCTTTCTACTGCGTACGAAATGAAGATGTTTTTTTTAGTTGCATGAAATATACGGCTCTTTTGAAAGCTTTTTGAATACACCGTAGGATCCTAATATTTTTGGTACGCTTGCCAAATCCGATGACACGTTAGATTGTTGCAAGTGATGTGTATAGATATTTTAGAAATAGATGGAGCGATGGTTTGCTATTATTGTAAGTAAATCTACTGTTGTTGTTTCAATGATGATAGTCCCTCAGTTGGCTTTCTATCATCTACTTTCTATTGTGTCTCTTTACTGAGAGTCGCAGTGCCGCGAAGGCTGATTGGAAATGCGTCTCAGGATTCCTGTTGTAAATCTGAAAGTACGTGAGAATGGATATAAGTTTATTTTCGTAAAATCAGATGAAGAGGAGAGGAAAGAGTGAATGTCTACTGCTATTTATATGTATGCTTTATGGATTGCTTACACACCCGTCTAGAATGGTGTTTCCATGCTAAGTTTTAGTGTCAATCCTAACTTATGCTAAATGGTAATTATTTCAGATATAGATGATCAGTCTAAATATCTTTAGTTGCTCTTGGCAACGTTAATTACTTACATTCCTTATCTGCTATCTTTCGACATATAGAGAATAGCTTACTGAAACTTAGCTTATGTGAATATCATGGTTATCGTTTACGTGTTGATACGGTTTATTTACATATGCTCCATATGTGCATAGTTTATTACTGAATTCAATCTACGATCTTGTGATTCAGGAACAGTTAGATGCGTGAATACAACAATAGAGACGTAGAATATACATCTTATTGCACATTATCCTAACTTCGAATAAAGAAGGATTTTAACAGTATTCTACCTGTTTTTTTAACCCCCTTTTTACTGCATTTTTTACTGTTACAATCAATCATTGATTTCGTTATGTCGTCTGTTCTGTCTGGTAACTCCCCACTGTCATCTCGTGCTGGCTCACCTAATCCCATGGAAGAGGACGTCATCATGGAGGATGGCAACACATCCTTACCTGCCTCAGTTTCTGCAACAACTGAACGCCTCAATGAGATGGATCTCGCGGCTGACCCGTATACAAACCTCGTTGGCACCCCGTCTCCTGCGCCTACTATATCTACTGAAGGTGAAGAACTTGTCAACCCTGACGCTACCTCACCACAACCTGCTCCACCTGTTACGAAGCCGCCAACGTTAACTGAAGTTCTGAAGAAGGTTCTACTCCAAAAGAAAAATGCGCAAATAGCATACTTGAAAGTTCTGAGCCATTCCAATGTCAATGTTGATGTAGCCAACCCACTCCGTGAAAGAGTAAACAATTTAGACAAGCATGTCAAAGCACTTACCGATGGTCTCAAGGCTGCTGCTGCTGCTACTGCTACTGCCACCAAGGTTTCCGCTGCCGCTAACTCATCGTCTACTGGCTTAAAAATTTCCAAGAGAGATCTTCCCAAATTCCAACTGGAGGATAACAAAGCTAAACCATTTCCACATGAGGAGGCATATCGTTCTGTTGATCATTTCCTCTCAGAATTCGAAAAATTTGTGTATTCTTCTGGCCAAGACATCGAAACCGTATGGCGCAAGTACATTCCCCTCACGTTGTCGTATGAATTGGATGACTGGATGAAAACGGTGGTCATGAAGTGCAATGTCTGGCACGATGTCAAGTTAGTTTTCAGCAAGAAGTTTGGGACAGTAGTTTCAAGAATACATAAGCGTCGTGCTGTGATGAATATGGAAATTGGGTTCCATGAATCCGTCGATGAATATTCCAATCGTTTCTTCCGCACTGTTGGTGAGGCCGGCTATCATCATGATGATTTGACAATTGGTGATGTCTTTTTGCTGTCTTTACCCGAGTCCTGGCAACTGAACATTTGTACTGTGCTCCTTTCAAATATCAAGAGACAAGCCTGGACTACCACGGAAATACACAATGCTGCCGTAGATCTTCTTGGTGAAAAGACTCCCCAATCATTGATGCTAGGAAAGGACGCCAAGCGCAAGTTTGGCTCTGTTGAACCCCCTATTGTTGCTGCCTCTGGCTCATCTGCCACCATGTCATCTGCTTTGCCAAAGGCAAGAATGCTTGGTAATCGAAATCTGCCCAATAGGGCTACAACCAAGAACCCTAACCCTTGCCGCCATTGTGGTCGCCCCTGGAAGCATGACCATACTTGTGAAGAATATCGAATGGCCAAACGCCAAAAGGGCGCTGGTGATGGAATCAACGTATTGTCCGTGCCTACTACTTCTGATACTAAAGAAGAAAATGAAACTGACGTGATGACCCAAGCTTCAAAAGAAGCATATGAAAACGAAATTTACAAATGTAAGTCTAAAAAGACAAACGAAAGCAAAAACAACATGAAACTAATCACACCTCTTCTATTAAATGGTAGAAGAATCATTGGAAAAGTGGATCCCGGATCGGATATTAGTTTCATCAATAAAAGCATATTAAATAAATTGTTTTCAAACATACAAACGTATAAAACAAATGGCTTTCTCAATTTCTTGTCTGTAAATGATGATAACAAGAACAGTACGGTAACAAGAATTGGTAAAACTGAACCTGTGGAAGTAACTTATACAAACAATATCAAATTCGCTCATGAATTCGAGGTCATTAAATTTAATGATGAGTTGTCTATGTTTAGGATATAGATCATCTCTGAGAGGCAAATGTATTAGACGTCGTTTATTACATAAGAGGATCTGAGAATGAGCTGAGATGCATAGTAGAAGTGAGAGGTCTTTATTCAAGCAGCACGAAGGAACATGAGTGGTGCCATCAAATGGCTAATCTATATCCTGGTTCCTAGAGAGTGGTAGCCTATGGCCTTTCGTCCCTGGAAGTGGGTTTCAATTCCGACAAATGTTCTTCCGTCAAAGCTATTAGGAAGAACATTCTATCCTGGATCATCTTTGTTGTTTATCCTTGACTGGTGATTCATGAGTTCTGATGCAGCACATCCTCGTTACTGGTTCAAGGCTTATACAATTATCCCGCATTCAAGATCAAGGTCCTATTGCTGCGGCACTGTCAAATAACTATAAATACCTTTGATATCTACACTAGTTTGATCCCTATTCAATCTTGGAATAACATAATAAATATATTCAGTTCTAATTGTATTTACTCTGTCTATATTTCGTTATTCTAAAAAGTCTACTGAATTTGATTTGTTACTTGGTGTCGATATTCTACCCAAATTGAATATCTACCTGCAAGGAGTAGCATATAAATTTCCTGATTCAGAAAAGGTCAAAGAAATGAAGCAGTTTGAGGATATAAATCACGATCAACAAAACAAATTCAATCCTGAAAAAGCTGATTGTTGTGCCAGAAGGGTTACAACTGTCTATAAAGATTAAGGTATTCTTGATGGGTAGATATGTCTGCGTTGTGCAACAACATGGACAAGCTATGATAATTGAAGTGCATCTCAGCTATCTAAATGCTGAGGTTCACCAGATGTGATAAGCGTTGTACAAGATAAATTGCTACTTTGGCATTCAGAACTTAGTATAAATAGAATAACTCTTGTCTTCATCAATAAATCTTTAGTTTTTGTGTCTGATCTTATTCAAATAAGTTTTTTCTTGTTTTTATAATATCGAACATTTTTTATAAGCTACAAATAGTAATCCTTTTGTTCTTTGTGCTTAACATGAGCGAAGACTTTTTACTTGTAATGAAATAGCCATCCAAACACAACTTGATTGAAAGCTGGAATTCATCAGATACCACTCATTCAATTTCATGCTATTTGAATCTCTTAATAAAGTGCTCAAATGTACATCAAAAACCATTTAAGCATACTAAAGTAAAGATGCATACTTATCTCGCACATCGTGTGAATGAATCACTCCTGATCACAGTTTATTCAATCACACCCATGTTGGTCGTAATAAGAGATATTATCTTTATCCAAATAAAATCAAATCAATAACAAGCATATTCAAATATGACAACTATGCCCTGCAGCCATAGTTGCACAATATCCCAGATAAAAGGTTCCATACTTCAATAACAAATATCATCACATTTTAAACCCTCAAGGTTACATTAAATCATGCTATGACGATAGCTCACCCAAGCCCATCAAGGTTACTCAAATCGACCCTTAAGGCCAGTGCTCTTGCATTGATTACCACTTTAAATCAAACATCAACAACATTTGCCAGATATCGCAATAGCAGAACCTATTGCTCTCTATCATCACTAATCCTATAAGCTAGTTGCAAATGTATAAATACTCTTCTTTTTTTACTCAATTCCAGGATCTTCAGTTCATTCTTATACACAAAATAAAATACAGTAGATTTCTATTGTATTTTACTATTGCTTTATTTTTTTTGTGAGATCTATTTAAACCTGATTTCACTGCAATATCATCAACAACTCACCATCCGATCTAAGACCCAATTTCCCTAGTGTTTTTATTGCAATATTTTTCTATAGAGACATCATGCTATTGTAAGAGCTCTCGCATCAATAATATTTCAAAAAGGGAAATACTTTTGTACGTCCAGAGTCTTGGATTTGAGATGATAAAAGATAGCAGATCATGGTGATGTATATTGCATTCTTGGTGGGGCATTTGGTACTACTGAAAGAGCCCTGTATCCAGTGTACTGCTGCAGTAGTAGTGGTACAACATATTATATAATCTTCCATACATAATAAATTTACAAAAACATTCTTCACACAAAATTGTTTAATGGATGATGAATTCAATGAGCACACCTTAACTTACTTTTGAATAATGAAGGATATAAATTGTATCATTATTTGAATACATTTTTATTACAAACACAAAATTATAATACATGACAGATCAATAGGAAATCAACTAGTTGTACTCATTCGTTGTTTCAACATCTGAGCCAATCAGATTGCGTAAAAACTCCGCTGACCTAAAAAAAATTTGCGAGGGTTTCCCTCTGTTTTGATGTGAGGCAAAATTTTAAGCGCCGCTATATAGTAATATAGCTGTTACTATCATCAAATTTCCCTCAGGTGCTAGAGCATGCCTTACTTACACCACCTAGCTTTAAATTCAGGCATTGAGACCCTCAATCATCACTAAAGTAAGTAGCGATAACCAAGTGGAGGCGGCCTATCTACCTCCTAGCCTCGGATAGAGTCTTGTTGAGCTTCAGGGATAGGCACATCCACACAACGTAAAAAAGTATGCCTCAAAGAAACATAATCAAAGGAACAAATGAACATAATACTATAAGAGTATAGTAGCATGTAAGCAAAAAAAAAAAAGAGAAACTCACACGAAGCGAGTCAAAGAAAAGCATAACAAACACAACATCAAAAATGTTTAAAAAAACTCGTTGTTGTTGCAATAAAATTGCATACATGAGCAACGTGCATGGTAGTAATAGTCGGCTGTAAAGCAACATGGCACAAATATACACAACTGCAAAAGCAACAGCGGTATTATCAGTTTGCAATACAACATAATGACTAATGTTGTTTCCTGTAAAGCTACAGAGGAAACACCACCAACAAAATAAAAAGAAGAAGAAAAAGCGCAACAAGGCAAACATCATGAATGCATTATCACGAGAAAGGAAGCAATAATACAAGCGTTCAAAGAAGTTTTATATCATTGCGACCAGAAGAAAGAAGATACCACCTACCACAGCCACAGATAAACCAGAAGAGGACACGAAATCACCGGAGACAGACCAAAGAACGAGGAGCATGCACCAAATACAGCAGACCAGGAAAGACCAGATTAGCAGGAGCTGCAGCAGCAATACCAGCACCATAGAAAAACTATAGAACGAACGTTATCAGCAAAGAACAGACAAAGACCAAAGCAGTTACTTACTGCTTATCACCACCAGAGATAGACCAGAAAAGTACAGGTAATCACCAGAAATAGACCAGAGAACAAGCATACTACAACAAATAGAGTAGACTAGGAAAGACCGGATTAGCAGCAGCAGCGGCAGCAACACCAGCACCATGGAAGAACCAAGGAACGAACAACACCAGAGACCAGACAAAGACCGAAGAAGCAGGCAGCAGAGATGGCAGAGAATTAATGGCAGCAGCACTCACTCAAGGAAGCAAAAAATACTAAAACCTAATAAACAAACTCAATTAGTGTTAATTTTACGCCTTTCAGTGCTCGTTATTGAATGATACCTAATATATTCTACTTCAAAGAAGCAGTATCAAGTTCTTCCAACAGTACAAGACAGAGTTATTGGATGCTAGAGTGTTATTATTAATTAAACGATGTCCAAAACCACCATGCTTTGATACTAAAACGCGTTTTGCAAAAGGGTAAAAAAACGAGGGCATGGAAAAATGAGAGGGCACCCTATTCGACGTCACGACCAGTAGAGTTAGTCTCAGTCTTGTACCGTAGCAGCCATAATTGCGGCAATTTAATTTGACATTGTGCAGTGGTATCTTCGTGTTCAAACTTGACTTGATCTCACACCCTTTAAACGTTTTTGCTAAATTTGACTATGAAAACTGTCGTTGTCAAACCCAACTTTCTAATACATCTCTAGAGGATTAAAGAAGCAGCATCGAATGGTGCTGATTACTTTTAGCTTTCAGACCTAAAATAATGAGCAATTTCCAAAAATATGAAAACAGGTTTTCTGAGAATATGTCAAAATTTAGCATATGAAAGTCTCAGAGAAAGAGTTTCCAATGTTGCATTTAATTTTTACGATCAATTTGATCTGATACCTATCATAGGAAAAGTCTTCACTTTTGACGTGAAAAACGCGATCGTTTGATTTTCAAGAATTTTCCCTTGCTAATACTCATGGAAAAACGATGATATTCATGAGTTTGCAACGTCCCAAAAAAAATGAGATAAAGCATTAGGAAGTAAGACGTAGCCAAGAGGAGGCGTGTGGTTCTATTCCAAGCGCTTAAAGCGCTTTGTGGCATGAGTTATTCGTACTTGGAAATGGCTAGATTTGCACAAAATTCAACCAAAAACGACGGCGTAGTGGGTTGCGTTACCAGAAGAGTAAGTTATACTTCTGTCTGATGACCCAGATGTTCTGTATTGTACATTATGAAATCTCTAGTATCAGCCTAAGGCATGGAAACGCTGTCCCCCCTTCGTGGTGAGATGCACATTATGGCTTAAAACCTTTGCCAAACAACCACAATGTTAAGCACAAAGAACAAAAGGATTACTATTTGTAGCTTATAAAAAATGTTCGATATTATAAAAACAAGAAAAAACTTATTTGAATAAGATCAGACACAAAAACTAAAGATTTATTGATGAAGACAAGAGTTATTCTATTTATACTAAGTTCTGAATGCCAAAGTAGCAATTTATCTTGTACAACGCTTATCACATCTGGTGAACCTCAGCATTTAGATAGCTGAGATGCACTTCAATTATCATAGCTTGTCCATGTTGTTGCACAACGCAGACATATCTACCCATCAAGAATACCTTAATCTTTATAGACAGTTGTAACCCTTCTGGCACAACAATCAGCTTTTTCAGGATTGAATTTGTTTTGTTGATCGTGATTTATATCCTCAAACTGCTTCATTTCTTTGACCTTTTCTGAATCAGGAAATTTATATGCTACTCCTTGCAGGTAGATATTCAATTTGGGTAGAATATCGACACCAAGTAACAAATCAAATTCAG